AATCTGGCTTCATTAACTTTGCTTGTCAAAAGGTCACAAAAGGGGGATCGGATCACCCAAGGACACTGCAACCGTCATAAATCTGAATCAGTTGCCAAGCATCCATATTTTGATCATGTGTCCATGGGGAGGCTGCAACGGTCATGCAAAAAACAGTCATGTCACTTTTTTCAGCACTGTTGTAGCTTTGAACGGTCACTAAATGAACTGTTGTATGTCGAAGACATTATCACCCTCTCTAAACCATTTTTAATATGGCAGCCCTACCAGCCTTCCATGCAGATTGCTATTCTAAGGAATTCTTGAGATAAAGTAGGGGAAAGGCTTTTAATATTAGGTAAAGGTAAAGGTTCCCCTCGCACATAGGTGCTGGTCATTCCCGACTCTAGGGGGCGGTGCTCATCTCTGTTTCAAAGCCGAAGAGCCAGTGCTGTCCGAAGATGTCTCCGTGGTCATGTGGCTGGCATGACTCAACGCCAAAGGCGCACGGAATGGTGTTCCCTTCCCACCAAAGGTGGTCCCTATTTTTCTACTTGCATTTTTTACGTGCTTTCGAACTGCTAGGTTGACAGAAGCTGGGACAAGTAACGGGAGCTCACCCCGTTACGCGGCACTCGAGCCGCTGAGCTGCCGAACTTTCAATCAACAAGCTCAATGTCTTAGCCACTGAGCCACCGCATCCCTTTTATTTTAATATTACTAGCTTCAATATACAACAGCAGTAATTAAAGCAACATATTACTGTTCATGTCTTACGATCATGAAACAGAAGTAAAAACGGAAATGCCAAAAGAATAATAAAACAGTGGGAAGGTTTATTCAATGCTACTGGTTAGCAGATGGATACATAAAGGAGATCCTGACCCCAATTTAATTCACTTTCCCTGTGTCTTACCTGGAAGAGGAAATCAAGCGTGTCCATAACCCAAGTTATGTAAATCTCTAATGCCCTCCAGTGGTTGGCTGAAGGATTTGAATTAGGTTTTCACCAGTAAGAGGGAGCATTGTTTGAAAAGACAAATTTGATTCTTGTCCACCAACCATGCAGAATCTGATTTCACTAATCAACTCCAAAATGAATCCAATTCAACCATTTCCAATTGAGTACAAAAATCATTTGGAGAGATTGTTCAAATTAGTTGCCCAAATTCACTTATTATCTAGATTTCTGAATCAGTTGGAAAAATAGAACATTAGCACACATATACAAAAATAATTGAAATTGTCTGTATCAATTCAGGGAGAGCTATTCCAATTGCCTGAATCAACTTTCCAGTTTCATTCATAAACGATGTAGAGATTTAATCAAATGGTTTTCAAATCAGGGGTCCAAACTGAATATTCACGCGGACATAGTAATCGGCTTACCGGTTACTGGGATCCCATCTCCAAGGCAATGGCGACATCAATGACAATGTGTGAGCAAGGATGAATGCAGCCTGGATGCGTTGGCAAGGACTCGCTGGTGTGTTATGACAGACGAATGCCAGCCCATCTTAAATCTAAGATTTACAAGACAACCATCTGCCCTGTTGCACTGTATGCGGGGCAGCAACATTTAGAGACTGAAAGCTATCTCCATGCCATGGAAATGCGAATGCTCCGTTGGATATCGGGCATCTCCCTTCTTAACCACATCACAAATGACACCATTCGACAACATTTTGGTGTGGTGCCAATTAGAGAGAAGATGAGAGAAGGCCGGCTCCACTGGTATGGACATGTCCTGAGAGTAGCACCTTCCACCATGGCTGTAAGGATCTGCCTCTCCTCGTTTCCCAAGAAAGTACAGACTCTTGAAACGTGGTATTTCAAAAGGAACCTTTTATTGAGAAGAAGTGACAGCAGGATAGGCGAAGCAGACTCTAAATTCCCTCCCAAACTGCACAGTTAGAAATAGGGCTCTGGAATCCATCCCTCCAGTTCGAATGTGGATTTCAGCCAATCCACAGGTGTGAAGATGTTTATTGTAATGGCCATCCTGAGAGCCAGATAAGGATCCGTTCCCATGCTCTTCCTCCTCTTTCAACCAACTAACACAATCCACATGGCCCTCCCTCCTTAATTCATTTCCAAAAGGTGAGAATATTGCAGGGTGCTTAGGCGCCAGGAAAAAGGTTATAAAATACAGCTTATCCCCATGCTCCCCCCTCCGTCCATATGAATGGCAGTATCACATCAGAGATCCGACAATGTCCAAGCCTGCCTATCAACTAGAAGTCAATGGCTGGCGACCTCGCGGGTGTCCAAAATGGAGATGGCAAGACACCATCAACCAAGATATGCAAGCCATGGGCCTGCGCCCCAGAGATGCAGATGACCATGCAAAGTGGCACTCAATGATTCAAAAGAGCCTTGGTAGTACAGTGGTTTAAAGCACCCTGTTATTAAGACCAGCTGCCTGCAATTACTGCAGGTTCGAATCTCGCCAGGCTCAAGGTTGACTCAGCCTTCCATCCTTTCTAAGGTAGGTAAATTGAGGACCCAGTTGTGGGGGCAATGAGCTGACTTTGTATAAATATACAAAAGGATGAAGGCTATTGCTTAGCGCATTGTAAGCCGCCCTGAGTCTCCGGAGAAGGGCGGCATATAAATCAAATTTTAAAAAAATGATCCAAAAAGCGGACCTTGCACTTGTGGGAATATGCTAGGAAAAAGAAGAAGATAATAACCGGCTTACCCATTGCTGTGAGAAGCCATACTGTGATATGTTAACAGCTGTCATTTCAGTTTTCCAAGTAATATTAGAGCAGTGTGACAGGATGTGAAGCCATCCAACCTCCATATGCTGAGCTAATAATTATGAGGACAGGTTTTATATTGTGCCAACAATGGTTAGATGATGCCAGAAGATAATTCCCCCTAGTGGTTATAGCATCTCCATAGCTTCACTTGCCTGGGGTTGAAATGATAAGAAAATTTGCGCTTGTTAATGCTATTTTAGTAAAATGGTGGTTGGATGAGTCTAAGAAGCATGTACAATTTGGGGAAAGATCAGTTAGGGGTGCTATGAAGAGCCCTGGAATTAAAGTCAACCTACAAAAGCCATTTTCTTACTGTAATCCTGTTGAGAAAGATGCACAAGGTTTAGTAAGCGGGTCGTAAAATGGGGAAAAACTCTCTTGCCGTATTTTTCGGAGTACAAGACGTACCTTTGTTTTTGGGGAGGAAAATAAGAAAAAGGCTGATTGGCGGGTAGATGGCCTCATGGAATACCCCTAATTAGCTGTTCCCAGAGGTGAATTTTAGCAACAGGTTTCTTGATTGTGAGCTCTGTGCCTTGCTTTTTTTTGCTTTTTTTTCTGCCTCTGAAACTTCTGAAACTCTGGTTCAGAAAAAACTTTTTTTCCTGCCTCTGAAAGCCTCCGAAACAGCTTCAGAAAAAAAGCCTCTGAAGCTCTGTTTGGAGGCTTCTTTTCTGAAGCTTCTTTTCTGATGCTTTTTTCAGCCTCTGAAACCTCCGTTTGAGAAGCTGGGCGGGGCTACATTCGGAGTATAAGACGCAATCAGATTTTCACCCTCTTTTTTGGGGGGAAAAGGTGCGTCTTATACTCTGAAAAATACAGTAACTAATGTCTCACTTAGCAACAGAACTTTTGGGCTCAACTGTGATCATAAGTCAAAGACTACCTGTACACAATTCAAGCATTACCCCTTTTTCAGAGTCCATGAGGCCATGGTTCCAGAGGCCATGTCATGGCCAACATTTTGACTTTTTTTACCCCTCCCCTGCTAGATAGTTTGAGTTTCCTTTCTCTCCCTCCGCTACTCCTTTTCAATAGGAAATGCAGAAAGGGATCGTATTTTACTGCAATAGCTCCTTTCTGTTTTATCCACTAGTCCTAAAAGAAGAACTTCTGGCTTCAATTAAATTTTAATTTTTAAAATTTAAAATCCTCTGTATCAAAGAATGTGTCTGAGGCCAATCTTATTTTTGCTTTTTCATATGTCCACCAAGCACGACAAAATGTCCCTTCATGTTGTTCAGATTTCCAACATACATTTGAAGTGCCTTCTAGATAATTGATTCGGCATCATATACCAAGGTACATCATTTTATAAAAATTCTCTTTAAAGATCATAACACAGTGTAAATTTCAACCTTTCAACCACAAGTTTTTCCATCTGCATATTATAACCAAAATTCTCGGTCCACCTTATCATACATTTTTAACTTTCCTCTGTTTCAAATTTCAATGTGTTTATACAAAGTTTTAGCAATTATATGTTCACTATCAGTGCACAATTGTATTTGACATTCTATCTTACTTTGCTCCATACCTTAAATTGTTTTATCCATTTTGAATTTTTCTGATAATTGTAAATGGAAAAACCATCAGGCGTGTCCAAACTAGCTGCTTTATTGTTCTCTGCCCATAATATAGGACAATAAAGCAGCTAGTTTGAATTCTACAAATGTGAGTCTGGGTCTGCCTAACAAAACCCACTGAATACTATACCCTTCTGCTATGGCTTTGCTTCTATGATATGCTTCTTGAGCTGAGATCCTTAAGACACAACCTCACTTTATATTGACACCATATTTTCAGTATGACATATCCAATACAAATGATTTTGAAAATCCACATTAATCTTTAACTTTATCATACTGTAAATATCTGTGGCATCCAAATCTTAAGACATGACCTTCTAACTCTAAAAGTCTCTTGCCCTGTTTCCCCTGATAACAAGCTCAATCGAGCTTTTGAGCGCGTGGCAATAAGGCCAAGCGCTTATTTCGGGGTTCAAAAAAATATAAGACAGGGTCTTATTTTCAGGGAAACACGGTACTTTTCGGCCATATTCATTCTTTCATCCAGACCAAACAAGACGTGGAAAAATGCAATTTCAAATCTGGTAAACCCAACCTTCTATTTTCATTTGCATTCTGTAACACTTTATTTCGTGTTTTTTTCTCCCCTTGCCAATTTAGATGTATCTTTTTGTAATCGTTTAAATGAAACATCAGTTATCAAAACAGATATTGTCTGAAACAAAAACATCGTTCGTGGCAAAACATTCATTTTTAACAAGAAATTTGCCCCAACAGTGTGAAATTTATTTTTCAATTGGCATTTTGTGTCCTATTATTTTGAAATAACATACAATTCATATTTGTCACAGTAATTCCCAAGTATTTTACTTTTTTCTCCATCTTAAAACCAGTTTTCTTCATCAGTTATATTTGATTTTCTAATTTCAATATTTTTGTTAGCATCTTTCCCTTCTGATTATTAATCTTAAAACCTGCTAAAAATGTACCAGAGTCCTTTATTTTTCCCATTGTTTCTACTCCCTCTAGTGGATCTTTTAAAATTAACACCAAATCACCTGCAAATGTCCAGAGCTTTTATGTTTCTTTTTAAATCTTAACTCCTATAATTCTCTCGGGCTGTCTTACGTCTCTGTTCAGTACTTCAAGAGCTGAATTATTTCAATATATGATTATTAGGTGAGACTAATAAGCACAGAGAAAGAAATATTCAACACTCTTGACTATGGAGGAATTTTGGTGAAATTTGACAGAACTTGCTAAAATATATGAATTATCTTGTTTTATTAGACAAATGACACTATTTACATTTACTGGTGATTAGAAACCTCTTATGGATTTTTTGCGCAAAAATAAAAAAACAAACGTGATTTATGGCTTTGATGATTAGACAGATTATAGAATCTAGAGCATGATAAAGTATCTTTAGAGAGAGAGGCTGAAATATAATTATAGTAATTGCTATGAAGAGAATTGGAAACCACTTCTTTGTATCTTTTTCTTTCTTTTTTTAGTTTTCTTAACTTTGTTTTCTTTTCTTGAACATTTTGCTTTCTTTTCTTTCCTTTTTTCTTCTTTCCCTTACATTAGTTTTTTTTCTTTTTCAAAAGTTTCAATAAAAATCATATAAAAAATTAATGGCAATAGTTCCAGTGTGAGCATGAAATAGGCTTGTGAGGAACTTTCAGTTGGGAGGCAAAAAGAAGCATTCAGATGAGGGTACGATTCATCTGCAACTTCTTAAACCAAATGCATTTATCCTAAAATCACAAAGAGATGGACAAAGCTAAGATATTACAGACAGGTGCTGTATTTGTGGGCACGAGTTCTGGTTCTAGAACATCAATGAGACCTCTACAAATCGTGAATATAAGGTTGTGCTTATTGATCGAAATTAAAACTTGAGAGGTGCTTTAGGAAGTTTTGTCTAGTAAGCAGATATGGAATGATGCATAAAGCAGATACCATAACTACATAAATAAATAGAGAGGAAATTCCTGCCATTTTGTTATTATAAAACAGTAAGTAAGAAAGGAAGGAAGGAAGGAAGGAAGGAAGGAAGGAAGGAAGGAAGGAAGGAAGGAAGGAAAAGAAGGGTTTTGGCTTCATTTCAAGCAAACTAAGAATTGCACTTTCAATTGGATGATTCCAGAAGGAGGATGTATCCACAAGGAGTCAGTAAGTCGAGTTATACTTAGGATACTTTGAGGTAGCAGCTTTAACATGGCTGAACATCCATCTCCAGCTTACTTGGCGACAGTGGATCAGTCTGAGGGGCTCTGGCATTTTTGGCAATCCTTCATGTCCTCTGAATAATTCTCTATCTGGATTGTTGTGGTGTGGAAATCAAAAGCTTTTTGCAGTTGGCAGCTGGCTTCCTTCAAGACAATCTGGGCATCAGCATCTTTATCTGGGACAGAAATGACAGAGCTAAAGGACGAGTATTGGAGATGGTGGGGAAATTGAAGTCCCCACCCCTTTTGAAAGCCGGCATTCAAGAATGGATAACATTGGTTCTAATTTAGTCTAGGCGTGCTTCAAAAATTATTTGGAAAAACTGCTTTAGGTCTTATGGAAACGCAAGCACAGCACTTCTCTAACAATCTTAGACAGGGGTGTCAAACTCAGGGCCTGGGGGGGGGGCGGATCCACCCTGTAGGGTGCTTAGATCTGGCCCGCAGGGCTGCCCTGGAAACAGTGAAGTGCCTCTGACAGTGAAAACGGAGCTTGGGAGGGCAGCGTGCATCCCTTCCAAGCTGTTTTCACTGGCAGAGGGTTGTAGGAGGCCATCACAGCTGAAAACGGAGCTTGCGAGGACCGTGGGTGCACTCCCAAGCTCCGTTTTCGCTGGCAGAGGATTGCAGGATGCCGCCGCAGCCAAAACGGAACTCGGGAGCCCATTTTCGCTGGTAGAGCACTCAGGCCACCACAGGCACCAACATGAGTGACGTTGAGCTGACCACACCCACCCTGGCCACGCCCATCCCGGCCCCCAAAGGTCAAACACAACTCTGATCCGGCCCTCAATGAAATCGAGTCTGACACCCCTGTTCTTAAGAGAAAAGTTGCGATGGCGCAGTGGTTAGAATGCAGTACTGCAGGCTACTTCTGCTGCCTGCCGGCTGCCTGCAATTTGGCAGTTCAAATCTCACCAGGCTCAAGGTTGACTCGGCCTTCCTTCCTTCTGAAGTGGGTAAAATGAAGACCCAGATTGTTGGGGGCAATATGCTGGCTCTGTAAACTGCTTACAGAGGGCTGTAAAGCACTGTGAAGCGGTAAGTAAGTCTAAATGCTATTGCTATCGCTATTCTTAACAGCCACACAACTTTGTTCAGGCATAATCTGAAACACATATCTCATGAAAGTTGCCTTTATCAGCCTTGGGCAGAAGCTTAAAAAAGTCAGTGAGATTCAAAACACTTTTGAATAATCTCCAGAGTGCACAGCCCTAACTGATTCAGGCTGGTGGAACTTCCAACCGTCCATCAAGACAGTTTTCTTTAAGAAAAGCTTAACTTTGCTAACTTTAGAGAAACATTTATGGAGTTTTCTTGGCAAACTCTCACCATCATAAAGGCAGTCCCCAACTTACAACCATTCGCTTAGCGTCTGTTCAAAGATATAACAACATCGAAAAGGTGACTTACTGACAGTTCTAACGCTTACAACTGTTGCAGCATCATCCCCATGGTAATGTGATCAAAATTTGGAAAGTAAATGGTTTACTAGACATTATATAAGAAATATTCTAATTCGAAATTGGGATAAGATCAGTAGAAAATATTATATTAAAACACCATGCTGGATATCTCCTGTGGAAGCATTGACATATCCTAAACTTTACAACCCAACAAAGAATTTAACATACAAGGATTTATTGAATGTACAGAGTAAACTAAAATCCAAACAGGAATTGAACACATTAGGAATACAAATAGACTGGTGGACCTATTTGCAGATTCAATCCAAATTCAAAAAAGACAGTGATGGAAAAGGCATATATGTGGAGTTACAAAAATTAGATAAAATTTTGATGGGCCAAGAAAAAGGCATGATTTCAAAAAGTTATAAATTACTAATGGAATTAGAGTTAGGTGATGAGATAATCAAAGACACAATGATTGCTTGGGGGAAAAATTTTGGGTATCCAATTCACTTAGATAAATGGCAAGGGATATGGTGGGAAAATATGAAATTAGTAGTCTCCACGACCTACAAGGAAAATATCTATAAGATGATATATAGGTGGCATCTCTCCCCTGATAGATTGGCTAAAATATTTGTTGGACAATCGACGATTTGTTGGAAATGTGGGCAAGAAAAAGGCACGTATTATCATCAATGGTGGACATGCCAGGAAGCAAAAAATTTTTGGGGGAAAATTAAAAAATGGTTGAGATTTTAGTAGAAAAAATTGAATGGTCACCAGAGACATGCTTGCTCGGCTCTAAACTGGATAAGATCAAGAAAGATTCATGGTATTTAGCCCTACACATTATTACAGCGGCGAGACTGATATACGCTCAATATTGGAAAAACCAGAATATCCCATCAGAGGAAGCAATCATAAAAAAGATTCTGGATTGTGCAGAAGCTGATAAATTAACCAAAAAATTAAAAGATAAAGACCAAACACAAACATGTTTATCCTGGGAGAAATTATATATTTGGCTAGAGAAGAGAATATCATAACCCCAAATAAATATGGAAGGATTGTTAAGAAGGAAACTATATTAAGTGAGGTCGGTTAGACCTAATCGAAATTTCAAGAGGGATGAGTTGCTCTTTCTCCCCTGGAATGTAATATTATATTGAATACTCAGATATGAAGGTACCATTTGTACCTATCACTTGTGTGTTATTTGTAATGTTCTCTGTGTTGTATGTTATTTATATGGTGTACTGTTATTTTTTTTGTTTGTTTTTAAAGAAAAATGTAAATAAAGACTATTTTTTTTAAAAAAAATTTTTTGGAAATTTCTATTTATGACAGTTGCACCACCCTGGGGTCATGTGATCGCCATTTGAAATCTTTTCAGGAGGCTTCCAAAAGCAAAGTCAAAGGGGGGGGGAGCCAAATTTGCTTAATGACCATGTGATCCACTTAACAATTACAGTAATTTACTTAAAAAAACCATAGCTAGAATGGTCATAAAAGTGGACATGACTCAATAACTCAACAACTTGAAGAGATGTGGACTTCAGCATGCTGGCTGGAGGAATTTTGGGAGTGGAAGTCGGCACATTTTCAAGTTCCTAGAGCTGAGAAACATTGACCTATAGCTATTTGGGTGCCTGGGTGTTTTATCCTTGTTCCAGAATGGTGCAAATTCTAAATTTACCTAACTCTCGTGTAACTTACTGATTGCGATATGGACCGACAGCACCGGCTGTGACACTGTTAGAGCCCAGATGTGGAGGCTATGAATTGCTTTCACTCCATTTATGGAGAGCAGGATGGTCTTCACGTCATTGAACTCTACGCTTTTTGGAGTTCCTGCAAGACAATAAGAAGGAAATGGAAGAAATGAGCCAAAACATCTGGATGCAAAGGATCTTGCAAGTTCTACATCTCTCTCACACCTTGGGCTTCCTATCTTGGGTGACTCAGTGGCTTAAATGATGAAGCTTTCAGTATCTGTTTCAGCTGTGAATTTAGCTTATGTTCTTTTTTTGGAGACTCCCAAAGTTGCATCTTGCCATCTGAGTAGAAGCTGGGCAAGACCTTCTTCAGCTGAGTTTGTAATTTATATAAGGCAGTGTTGGCCAACCTTTTTGGCACAAAAACGGTGCCAAAACGGGAGCGCACGTGCCAGTGGTGAAATGTAAAATTTGTTACTACCGGTTCTGTGGGTGTGCTTTGTGGGGGGGTAATGTGACTGGATGGGCGTGGCCAACTATTTTTTAAAAAAACTTTTAAAAGCCTTTTTTCTACAACCTCTTCGGCCTAAGAGGTTGTTTAAAAAAATGCTTTTAAAAGGCTCTTACGATTCCAACTGAGTTGCCTGATTGTCAGAGGCTTTTGTTTTCTTTTAAAAGCATTTTTTCAGCCGAAGAAAAAATGCTTTTAAAAGTATATAAAAAAAGCCTTTGATGATCACGTGGCTCAACTGGGCATGGGGGGTGGGCAGGGTTTTAGCTACCGGTTCTCCGAACCATCCGCCATCATCGCTACCGGATCAGGTGATCCGGTTCGAATCAGGAGCATTTCACTCCTGGCGCATGAGCATAGGAGAGCACCAGAAACCAGAAGAGCAGCTCCCCGGAAAATGAGCACACTGGAAAGCTGAGCTTCTGGTTTCTGGTGCGCACATGCGCGCTGACCACCTGGTCTTCCAGTTTTTGGCACACATGCGCATGCGAAGACCAGCTGGCTGGTACGCATATGTGCGCCGGAGGCCGGATGAGCAACGGACGACAGCTGGTGTGCCCAGAGAGATGGCTCTGCATGCCACTTCTGGCACGCGTGCCATAGGTTCGCCACCACGGATATAAGGCATTATTTTTCTTCAAACTGACTTTTCAGTACCCAGCAATAGAGAAGCTAAGGAAAAGTGTAACTTTATGTGCCGTTTCATATGTTTATTATACAGGTAATCCTCAACTAACAACAGTTCACTTAGTGACCGTTCAAAATTACCACGGCACTGGAAACAGTGACTTATGACCATCTTCCACGCTTACAATCATTGCAGCATCCCCGAGATCATGTGATCAAAATTCAGATGCTTGGCAACTGGTTCATATTTACGACGGTTGCTGTGTCCTTGGGGGGGTCACGTGATCCCTTTTTGCGACCTTCTAACAAGCAAAGTCAATGGGGAATCCAGATTCACTTAAGAACCATGTTCCTAATTTAACAACTGCAATCATTCACTTCATTGTGGCAAGAAAAGTCGTAAAATGGGGCAAAACTCATGTAACAAATGTTTCACTTAGCAGCAGAAATTTTAGGCTCAATTGCAGTCATAAGTTCAGGAGTAAAAGATAAAGGTTCTCCTCGCACATATGTGCTAGTCGTTCCCGACTCTAGGGGGTGGTGCTCATCTCCGTTTCAAAGCCGAAGAGCCAGCACTGTCCGAAGACGTCTCCGGGGTCATGTGGCCAGCATGACTCAACGCCAAAGGAGCACGGAACGCTGTTTCCTTCCCACCAAAAGTGGTCCCTATTTTCCTACTTGCATTTTTTTTTACGTGCTTTTGAACTGCTAGGTTGGCAGAAGTTGGGACAACTAATGGGAGCTCACCCCGCTACGCAGCACTAGGGATTTGAACCGCTGAATAGGGACCATCTTGGTGGGAAGGTAACATGCCGGCCATATGACCACAGAATTGTCATCAGACAGCGCTGACTCTTTGGCTTAGAAACGGAGATGAGCTTCGCCCCCTACAGTCGGGAACGACTAGCACATATGTGCGAGGGGAACCTTTACCTTTACCCTATGACTATCATTAAGTGTTGTACCTTATGACTCTTAATGAATGTATCTTTTCTTTTTATGTACACTGAGAGCATATGCACCAAAGACAAATTCCTTGTGTGTCCAATCACACTTGGCCAATAAATAAAGAATTGTCTTCTTGATGAGAAGCAAAATGTTTTCAAGGAAATAAAACAAGAAAGTCTTTTGGAAAAGCACTTTGGGGACCACCGTGACTTGGAGGGTGGAGAATCTCCATAGACATTTTCTCCTCTGGGCAGTGGTTTATGTCATACTTTTATTATTCCTACTCTATCATCCAAGTCAACGTGGGCCTGCTGTCTTTAAAATCCAATTTAATGCACTCAATCCCATCTCCCAGCCCTAGGAAATGACCTTCCATCAGCACACGGATAACATCTCGGAGGATGTTCAATGTCGTTCCAAGGACCAGGATGGAAAACACAAAGGTACAGATAGGATCCACGTATTTATATTCTGGCTAGAAAAAGAAGAAAATAATCCATGAGTCCTCTCTTTGTTCAAGGGCTGAATCCCTTTCTAGGCTCTGCTTGGCACTTATTTCATCAGGGAGTCACAGCTGATGTCTACTGGCAGCATTCTTACCCTACAGTAGAAACCCCTATGGCCTTCCTAATGTTGGGCTGTGCCTCCAGTCAGCATGGCTGTAAAGCAGAGGTCTTCAAACTTGGCAGCTTTAAGACTTGTGAACTTCAATTCTATGCTGGCTGGAGAATTCTGGGAGTTGAAGTCCACAAGTCTTAAAGCTGCCAAGTTTGAAGACCTCTGCTGTAAAGAGTAGAAATCATAACCTCCTTAACGTCCTCTGGACAGCCAACGGCTTCCGATTCTTGCTTTAGAATTAAATCATTCCACTCTACCACAGAGGAGATGTCTGCATAGGAACAGGGGGGGTCAATGTCAGGCTTGCCCCAGCTTGATTCCTAGGAAAGGAAGACCCTCGACTCCCTTTGGTTGAAATGAATCTTTTACTAAGAATTAGTGGTTGCAAACAAAGCAGGCTAGGACTGAAGTTCACACGCAAAAGATTGCAAACTTTCCCCTTTCGTCCAGCTTCTCCCTTCACCAGCTCATCTTTGACCAGTGGCATGCTGTTTAAGTGTTTTGAGAATGTTACAGATGTTTGGTGCAATTTTTGCATTCCTTTCTCAAGCTCTGCCTCCTTGAGGACTGGAATAAGCTGGTTCTCCACCTCTGGTTTCTGTCAAGCCTATCATCCTTCTTCCCTTTGGATCACCTCTACCCCTTACAGGCCAATTGCCTATTTCCTCTCCTCTCCCCGTCCCCTGCTTCCCAAGAGTGATAGCAGAATGCCACCGAGGCGCCAAGCTGAAGTTCTGAGTCATTGCCTTCTTTTAAATCAGGGAGTAGACAACATGCAGCCTCCTACAAGTGACATTTCTGCAGTCATAACCACGCTGCCCAAATCTAATAACAAAATAGCTACAGGAAGTCCTCGACTTATGACCACAATTGAGCCCAACATTTTTGTTGTTAAGCAGGACAGTAGTTAAGCGGGTTTGCCCCGTTTTATCCCTCGCCACGTAAATAATTACAGTTGTCTATGGAGATTCTCAATCATCCAGGTCACGGTTGCCTCAAAGATGCTTTTTTCAAAAGGCCACTGGACTTTGTCTTTTCCTGGAGGAAGATGTTTCGCTTCTCATCCGAGGAGCTTCATTCAGTCAGAACTGAAGAAGCTTCTTGGATGAGAAGTGAAACGTCTTCCTTGAGGGAAAAAACATCTTTGAAAAAGCATCTTTGAGACAACCACTACAGATTTAAGTTAGTAACATGGTGAAGTGAATCTGGCATCCCCATTGACTTTACTGGGTCACAAAAGGGGATCACATGACCCAGGGGTGAAATCTAAAATTTGTTACTACCGGTTCTGTGGGTGTGGTTTGATGGTGGTGGTGGGTAATGTGACTGGGTGGGCATGGCCACCTTTTTCTTTTTTTTACTTTTAAAAGCATTTTTCTATAACCTCTTCGGCCAAAGAGGTTGCAGAAAAAAATGTTTTTAAAAGCCTCTGATGATCCTAGCTGAGCCACATGATCATCAGAGGCTTTTTTTTTTTACTTTTAAAAGCATTTTTTCGGCCGTAAAGGTTGTAGAAAAAATGCTTTTAAAAGTAAAAAAAAACAGCATCTGATGATCACGTGGCTCAGCTCAGCATGGGGGGTGGGGGGAATGCAGGGATTTTTGCTACCGGTTCTCTGAACCACCCGCCGCCTCGCTATCGGATCGGGCGATCTGGTCCGAACCGGGAGCATTTCACCCTTGACATGACCCCAGGACATTCAGTTGCTGAGTGTCTGACGTTTGATCAGATGACCATGGGGGATGCTGCAACAGTCATTAAGTGTGGGGAAAACTGTCATAAGTCATTTTTTTCAGGGCCATTGTAACTTTGAATGGTCACTAAACAAATGGTTATAAGTTGAGGACTACTTGTAATGTCCTACAGAGTGCTGGTCTCATCCCCTACTCCCTCAAATTAAGTGGTGGGAAGCAGTGGTGGATTTCAAATTTTTTTACTACGGGTTCTGTGGGCATGGCTTGGTGGGTGTGGCAGGGGAAGGATACTGTAAAATCTCCATTCCCTCCCCAATCCAGGGGAAGGTTACTGCAAAATCCCCATTTCCTCCCGATCAGCTGGGACCTGGGAGGCAGAGAATAGATAGGGGCGGAGTCAGTCAGAATTTTTACTACTGGTTCTCCGAACTACTCAAAATTTCCACTACTGGTTCTCCAGAAGTGGTCAGAACCTGCTGAAACCCACCTCTGATGGGAAGGAGCTCTGAAGTGGGAAGTCCCTGGCAGCCTCAAAACTCTTCAATCATCCAACAGAATGAATGAGTTTGACTTAACTGGTTTGATAAATATTTCCACTTCTTGCTTTAAATTTGTGGTCCACTAATCAAGATTACAATGAAAGATAGAACCTGGTGGTCCCATAAAATTATTGGGGACTATTCTATGATTGAGAGGAAAGAATAATAATCTTTCTGTTGGAGGTCTTACTTTGAAGTAGATGATGATGGCAGCCACCAAAACGCCAATGCTTTGCATAAGATCTCCAACGACGTGGATAAATGCAGCTCGCACACTAGTATTGTGTGTCCCCTCATTGAGACTGTGATGGCTATGACCGTGTCCCGATTGGTGTAAGATAATGCCCATCCTATAGAAAGATATTAATAAAGAGTCAGTTGTAAACAGAACATTACCGTATTTTTCGGAGTATAAAACGCACCTTTTTCCCCCCAAAAAAGAGGGCGAAAATCTGGGTGTGTCTTATACTCCGAATGTAGCCCCGCCCAGCCTCCCAAACGGAGATTTCAGAGGCTGAAAGAAGCCTCTGAAAGAAGCTTCAGAAAAAAAGCCACTAAACAGAGCTTCAGAAAAAAGCCTCTGAAAGGCTTTTATCTAAAATAATATGTCAAGCAACAAAAGAAGATTAGAATGTAAAATTTACGCAAGCACAAAATTTAAGAGAAAATTTTTATAAAATGTTCTATAGATGGCATTTAGATCCTAAAAAGTTGGCTTGTATGTATCCGAATTTACAATCTAAGTGTTGGAGATGTGATTGTGATGATGCCACTTATTATCATATATGGTGGACTTGTAAAAAAGTTAAAGCATTTTGGATTAAAATATGGTTGATTATCCAAAATACTCACATTACATTCTTGGCAAGGCTCAGGGCCCTTTTATCTGACTGTTGCCTTGGTAGCAGCTCTGTCTCCTATCTTCAAAGCTCTTCCCTCTGCCCTCAGCCAATCTTGGAACTTACTGTACCACCCTCTCTCTCTCCAACATACCACACTGAGATAAAATGAAGGGATATTTCCTAGATATTTTATCTTGACCTTTCAAAGAAAGCAATGCCAATGAATAAGTGGATTTTTTAAAAAAAATAATAAAACATGATAAAGGTCACACAGATTCCAAATTCCTCTTGCCAGTAAGGCATTCCTCATCTCTTTCTATCCATGACTTAAAGAGGACATTTCATCCTGAACCTGTTTCTGCCCACACTACATCCACTCTCCACAGGTAGCAGCCATTACGAGAAGAATCACAAGTCTGGAGATGACGACACTGGCTGCTCACACATAGCCCACTGTATTTTATGGAGTATAAGACGCACCTTTTTCCTCCAAAAAAGAGGGTGAAAATCTGATTGCGTCTTATACTCCGAATGTAGCCCCACCCAGCTTCTCAAACGGAGGTTTCAGAGGCTGAAAAAAGCATCAGAAACGAAGCTTCAGAAAAGAAGTCTCCAAACAGAGCTTCAGAGGCTTTTTTTTTCTGAAGCTCTGTTTTGGAGGCTTTCAGAGGCAGGAAGAAAAGTTTTTTCTGAAACGGAGTTTCAGAAGTTTCAGAGGCAGAAAAAAACACACAAAAAAAGCAAGGCACAGAGTTCACAACCAAGGAACCTGTTGCTAAAATTCACCTCTGGGAACAGCTGATTGGGGGTATTCTGGGAGGCCGATCCACTTGCCAATCAGCTTTTTTTCTTATTTTCCTCTCCAAAAACTAAGGTGCGTCTTATACTCTGGTGCGTCTTATACTGCGAAAAATATGGTACTTTGCAACAAAGGCACAAGCCAAATGAAAGGCAGAGAAAACCCTCCTGAGGATAAGTTGTTCCAGATCAATGCTTATTAACCTCAGCAACTTAAGATGTCTGGACTTTAAGTAGGGAATTCTGGGAGTTGAAGTCCACACATCAAAAAGTGCCAAAGTGACCCCATGAATTTGAAAGCTATCCATGATTGGGTTGGGATATAAATAGTCCTCGACTTATGACAATTGAGCCCAAAATGCCTGCTGCTAAGCGACATTTAATAAGCGATAAGGGGGACACGGTGGCTCAGTGGCTCAAAAGGTCGGCAGTTCAGCAGTTCGAATCTCTAGTGCTGCATAATGGGGTGAGCTCCTGTTACTTGTCCCAGCTTCTGCCAACCTAGCAGTTCGAAAGCACGTAAAAAATGCAAGTAGAAAAATAGGGACCACCTTTGGTGGGAAGGTAACAGCATTCCGTGCGCCTTTGGTGCTGAGTCATGCCGGCCACATGACCACGGAGACGTCTTTGGACAGTGCTGGCTCTTCGGCTTTGAAACAGAGATGAGCACTGCCCCCCTAGAGTCGGGAACGACTAGCACATATGTGCGAGGGGAACTTTTATCTTTAAGCGACACAGTTGTTGAGTTTTGCCCCATTTTTACAGCCTTTCGTGCCACAGTTCTTAAGTGAATTGCTGCAGTTAACATGGTTGTTAAGTGAATCTGGCTCCCCATTCACGTTGCTGGTCAGAAGGTCGCCAAAGCTGATCACGTGACCCCGGGACCCCCTAACCGTCATAAATATGAACCTCTTGCCAAGCATCTGAATTTTGATCACGGGACCGTGGGGATGATGCAATGGTCCTAAGTGTGAAAAATGATCATAAGTCACTTTTTTTCAGTGCCATTGTAACTTTGAACGGTTACTAAACAAATAGTCTGGAGTCAAGGAGACTGCCTGTATTGGTTATTCTTGGCATAAACAGACAGGAAGTGCAATCTCACTAGGAATCAACTAGACACCTACGCACCAGATAAAGTTGCTCTCCAAGATGCTAATTGTGGCCTGTCTGAGACGAAGAAACAAAACCAGAAGGAGAATATAAGAGCGTATGCTTTGATCAAGCCTGTCCCCTTATTTAGACGAAGAACTGCCAGATTGTTTGGTTTGGGGACTTAAAAAAGAGTGGGAGGATTTGCTATTTTTATTGTTGGCGTTCTTTTTTGTACCAGGCAGCAAGCAAGCAAGAAAAGACCGGACAACCAATTTGTTTGAAATGGTATAGGTCAGGGGTGCCAAACTCGATTTCATTGAGGGCCGCATCAGGGTTGTGTTTGACCTGGGGGGGGAAGGGGGCCATGATCAAGGTTGTCCGTGGCCAGCTTGATGTCACTCATGTCAAAGAGTGCCTGTGGTGGCCTGAGCTCTCTCCAGAGAAAATGTCCAGAAGCGAATCACCTAGTAAGAAAGCAATTCTGATTTTCCCACTGACTTTGCTGGCTGGGGAGGTGACAAATGGCGATCACAGGACCCTGGGACGCTGCAACCATCACACATACTAGCCAGTTGCTAAGTGCCTGGATTGTAATTATGTGACCGTGGGAACCCTGAGACATCTGTACGTGCGAGGACTGGTTGCAAGTCACCTTTTTCATCAGTGTCGCAACTTTGATTGCTAAATGTTCTACCTATAAGGACTACCTGTCCGCCTGGCTGTGCGCGGCCCTCCCGAACTCCTTTTTCACTGGCAGAGGGTTTCAGGAGGTCGACACAGCTGAAAATGGAGCTCGCACGGCCCTCCCAAGCTCCATTTTCGCTGGCAGAGGCACAGCGGGCTGGGCAGCCCCGCGGGTGAGATTTAAGCACTCCACGGGCTGGATCCAGCCTGCAGGCCTTGAGTTTGACACCCCTGGTATAGGGTTTCCTGCTTGAGCAAGGGCTTGGATTAGAACACGGGTCACCAACCCCCGGTCCCTGGACCAGCACCAGGTCACGGCATGCGGGCAGCATGCAAAACCATGCCCCCTCCGGTCTGCGGAAAATCCTTTTTCCACAGAACCGTTCCCTAGTGCCCAAACAGTTGGGGACTGCTGGACTAGAAGATCTCCAAGGTCCTGTTCAAGTCTGTTATTCTGTTAAATCAATCAATCAATCAATAACACGGGTCCTTTGTGAGGGTTAGGGACAGGGGTGGGATTCAGCTGGTTCTGACCGGTTCGGGCATTCCGGTAGCTCCAATGATCAGCTGAGAGCGAACCGGTTCACTCCGATGATCAGATGGGCCTGCCCCTCCGCCCACCCCTGTGCTATAACCTACCTATATTTCTTTTGTTTTAAGCCCACCTGATAGGTGCAGCAGAGAGGATTGCCACGCCTCAGCTGTTTTACTCACTCTGGATTCAGTAGCAGGTAACTTTCGATCGTAATGTGCATGCGTGGAAGTGCGAGTTTGGCGCGCATGCGAGCAAAGCGAGGGCGCAGCGAATTGGTTGTTACAAACGGTGAATCCCACCACTGGTTAGGGAGAAATTACAGGTAGCCCTTATAGGTAGAACATTTGCTTAGCAGCCAATCAAAGTTGCGACAGTGATGAAAAAGGTGACTTGCAACCAGTCCTCGCACTTATAGCTGTCTCAGGGTTCCCACGGTCACATAATTACAATCCAGGCACTTAGCAACTGGCTAGTATGTGTGATGGTTGCAGCGTCCAAGGGTCCTGTGATCGCCATTTGTCACCTTCCCAGCCAGCAAAGTCAACGGGGAAATCAGAGTTGCTTTCTTCCTGGGTGATTCGCTTAAGGACAGCGGCAAAAAAATTACTAAAGTGGTCACCATCACATGACTCACTTTAATGAGTACTTTCACTTAGCAACAGATGTTCCAACTCTTAGCGATTCTATGGATCACATCTTTCATCTTGCACTGTTCGTTTTGAGTTTTTCTACGCTCTGCCTGGTGTAAGCTTTGATGGTATACAGCAACCATGTTCTTTGATGGCTTGGATTTCTTTTACCACTAACCTCCTCCAAACATAATTGCTTTCTCCAGTGAATTGCCTGCATCATCATCTTCATTTAACGACCCCATAAGCCAGTGGTGAAATCTGAACTGCTTTGCTACCGGTTTGCTGGCTGCGCATGCAGAGTTCGCACCAAATGCACACTACATGTGCATTCGCAGTACACACCAAAAGGAGGCTTGGGAAGGTAAATAGAACAGCGGGGGGGGGGAATGAGCTGTGGTGCACGATCTCGGGAATCTTTTAAAAAACTTTTTAAAAGCATTTTTAACTACTGGTTCCAGAGAACCGGTAGTAAAAAAAATGCTTGAAAAGTTTTTTTTAAAAAAGTTCTGACGATCGTGCATCACTCAGCCGATCGTCGGAACTTTTTCCATTTGTTTACTACCGGTTCGGCGAACTAGTAGCATTTTTTTACTACCGGTTTGGGCGAACCATCCCAAACCGGTAGCATTTCACCCCTCCCATAATCCCTTGCAGGGTGGAGTCTGGGCAACTGACAGTGTTTTAATGTCCGGATGCCCTTCCTGACGCCAATGCAGAGTTTTGTTTAGCAGATATATTCGCACTGTGCCCAGAGAGAGAAATATCTGTCTCTACCTAGAATCGAACTCACAGCCTCCTTGATTGTGAGGCGACAGCTCCATCTCTAGGCCACCGCACCACTGCATGACATGGCCAACATAAGGGAGACACAGTTTCGTGATTTTGCCTTCTAGTGACATGTCTAGTGTTATGCGCTTCAGTCCTTGCTTGTTAGTCACCTGTCCAAGGAAGTCAAGAACTACCTATACAAAGCATCTTAGCTCTACCATTCTGTCCAGGGGCAAAGGGTTTCCTCTTCACAAAAGACCAGCACCAGATTAGGACCCTACTGTAGAATGGAGGGGTGGGTGGGAAAGAAAGGACTTTAATTCTTTGCCAGTTACTATAATTCAGATTCTGTGCCACAAAATATATTGCGGCTCATTTCAGTGGAGAGTTTGGCTGGGGATGGGCACAATACAATGGCAGAAATTCAGATCCAGGTTGGTACCACAAAGAGGTGGATTTGATCCAAGTTCTTTAATGTGCCTTTTTTTCTTGCTTCTTGCCCCTTTGTGGGGGAGTGTGCAGATAGGCAGTTTGTCTTTGTCTTTCGAGAAAATGCAGACTTCTAAACAAAGCACTGGGTTATAGCCAGGGGTGAAATGCTCCCAGTTCGGACCGGATCACCTGATCCGGTAGCAATGGAGATGGGTGATTTGGAGAACCGGTAGCAAAAATCCCTGCTCCCCCCCCATTGCCCAGCTGAGCTGCGCAATCATCAGAGGCTTTTTTTAAATTATTTTTAAAAGCATTTTTTCTACAACCTCTTTGGCCGAAAAAATGCTTTTAAAAGTAAAAAAAAAAAGCCTCTGATGATCGCGCGGCTCAGCTGGGATCATCAGAGGCTTTTAAAAGCATTTTTTCTACGAAGAGATAGAAACCTCTTTGGCCGAAGAGGTTATAGAAAAAATGTTTTTAAAAGGAAAAAAAGCCTCTGCCGATCAGGCAAGTCAGCTGGGATCGTCAGAGGCTTTTAAAAGCATTTTTTTACAACCTCTTCAGCAAGCCACACCCACAGAACTGGTAGTAACAAATTTACATTTCACCACTGGTTACAGCCACCTATTCCTTTAGTATTATTATTTTTGCATGTACCGAAAGCATTCTTGTAGATAAAAACAGTGTTAGGAGGTGAAGCTTTGCTTTGCACGTCTAGCTTTTTTTTTTTTTCTAAATAAAAGTTTTAAAACCATCAGGAGAAACAGGGAGTTTGGCAGACACTAAGGTTGGTCTCCAGAAGTGCACTAAAGGTGCCTGCTACAGAGTGTCTGGCAAATGCTTTTACTCCCACCTAATTATTTTAGCTGCATGGAATCAAGAGCCTTTCAAATGCCAAGCAAATCAAAGAGAACCCCTATTTGGTCCATCCACAAAGAAGTTTCCATGAACAGGTAGTCCTCAACTTACAACAATCCATTTAGTGACCGTTCAAAGTTGCACGGGCATGGAAAAAAATGAGTTATGACCATTTTTCACACCTATGACCGGGGCAAAAAACTCATTAAACAAACGTCTCACTTAGCAACAGAAATGTCAGGCTCAATTGTAGTTGTAAATCGAAGACTACCTGTATTGCCAGGATCAAGGCCCATCAGCTGGTAAAACCTTGAATTTTTCTTAAGGATTTTAGGACGTTGTTCAAAAATTACCCTCAATGTTCATACTTACACGATGTTTACAGCCACAGCACAGCCGGAAGTGATCAGCATGGCATCTCCTTCTATCTCGTAGTCACCAGAAATCAGTCTCTGGACCGCCAGGTAAACTAGGACCCCAGTTACCACCCAGATTGAGAGAACGGACAGCAGGGCTCCCAAAATCTCTGCAGCAAAAGTCAGAAAACTTTGGTTAGAATAGAATAGGAATAGGAATAGGAATAGGAATAGGAATAGGAATAGGAATAGGAATAGAATAGAATAGAATAGAATAGAATAGAATAGAATAGAATAGGATAGGGATAGGGATAGGGATAGGGATAGGGATAGGGATAGAATAGAATAGAATAGAATAGAATAGAATAGAATAGAATAGAATAGAATAGAATAGAATAGAATTCTTTATTAGCCAAGTGTGATTGGACACACATATGCTCTCAGTGTACATAAAGAAAAAAATAAAATATATTCATCAAGAATCATAAGATACAACACTTAGTGATAGTCATAGGATACTAATAAACAATCAAATCATACTAGGAAACAATAAAAACAATATAAGTTGTAAAGATATAGCCATAAGTGGGAAGAGATAGGTACTAGAAAGGATGAGAAGAATAGTAATACAGTCTTAGTAGTTAATTTGACAGTGTTGAGAGAATTATTTGTTTAGCAGAGTGATGGCGTTTGGGAAAAAACTGTCCTTGTGTCTGGTTGTTCTGGTGTGCAGCACCTTATAGCATCGTTTTGAGGGTAGAAGTTGAAACAATTTATGTCCAGGATGTGAGGGGTTGTTGAGAGTGTGGTTGCGCGACAGCTCCCGCAGTACCTGGATGAAACCATCTATCTAGGTCCGTGCCAGTCCGGCTTCAGGCCTGGGTACAGCACGGAGACGACATTGGTCGCATTGGTGGATGATCTCTGGAGAGCTCGGGACAGGGGTTGCTCCTCTGTCCTGGTCCTGTTAGATCTCTCAGCGGCTTTTGATACCATCGACCATGGTATCATGCTGCGTCGGTTGGAGGGCTTGGGGGTAGGAGGCACCATGCTGCGGTGGTTCTCCTCCTATCTCTCCGACCGGTCGCAGTCGGTGTTGACAGGGGGGCAGAGGTCGACCTCGAGGCGCCTCGTTTGTGGGGTGCCGCAAGGGTTGGTCCTCTTGCCGCTCCTGTTCAACATTTATGTGAAGCCGCTGGGTGAGATCATCTGTGGTTTTGGGGTGCGTTGCCAACTGTACACTGATGATACTCAGCTGTACATCTCCACCCCTGACCACCCCAATGATGCCCTCGAAGTAATGTCCCAGTGCCTTGAAGCCGTGCGGGTCTGGATGGGGAGGAACAGGCTTCAACTCAACCCTTCCAAGACCGAGTGGCTGTGGATGCCGGCGTCCCGGTATAGCCAGCTGGTGTCATCGCTGGCTATTGGGGGTGAGTTACTGGCCCCCGCAGAGGGGGCTCGCAACTTGGGTGTCCTCCTGGATTCACGGCTGTCTTTGGAAGGGCATATGAAGGCCGTGGCCAGGGGGGGCCTTCTATTAGTCCGCCTGATGCGCCAGTTGCACCCCTTTCTGGATCGGGACTCCTTATGCATAGTCACCCATGCCCTCGTCACGTCTCGCCTGGACTATTGTAACGCTCTCTACATGGGGCTCCCCTTGAGGTGCACCCAGAGGCTCCAACTGGTCCAGAATGCAGCCGCGCGGGTGATTATGGGAGCCACAGGGCGCTCCCACGTAACACCTCTCCTGTGCGAGCTGCACTGGCTCCCAGTGGTCTTCCGGGTGCGCTTCAAGGTGTTGGTTCTCACCTTTAAAGCGCTCCATGGCATAGGGCCGGGATACCTGCGAGACCGCCTGCTGCTACCGATAACCTCCCACCGGCCAGTACTCTCGCACAGAGAGGGCCTCCTCAGGGTGCCGTCAGCCAAGCAATGTCGGCTGGCGGCCCCCAGGGGGAGAGCCTTCTCTGTGGGGACACCCAACCTGTGGAATGAGCTACCTCCTGGAATACGACTGATCCCGGACCTCTGCGCTTTCCGAAAGGCCCTGAAGACTTATTTATTCCAACAAGCTGGCCTAGCTTAAATGGTTTTAATGGGGTTTTTAAATTTGCGATTTTATTGATTCTGGGTTTTAAATTGGGAACTTTTCGATTTTGCAGATTTGGGATTTTAAATTGGAAATGCCGATGATTTAATTTATTTTAGTTTTTTCTTAACTTTTGTACTATATGTGTTTTAAGTTTGGCTGTCCACCGCCCTGAGTCCCCCTGGGGAGAAGGGCGGTATATAAGTTGAATTAAATAAATAAAATAAAATAAATAAATATTTTCCCAGCCCTCTTTTTGATTCGTGCACTAAACAGATCCTCACTGGAAGGCAGGTTGGTAGCAATTGGTTTTTTCTGCAGTTCTAACTATCCGTTGAAGTCTGTGTCTGTCTGGTTGGGTTGCAGAGCCAAACCAGACAGTTATGGAGGTGCAGATGACAGACTCAGTAATTCCTCTGTAGAACTGAGTCAGCAGCTCTTCGGGCAGAAAGTTTGAGCTTCCTGAGTTGGCGCACCAACTCATTCTTTGTTGTGCTTTTTTGATGACGTTTTTGATGTTAGGTGTCCATTTTAAGTCTTGCGATATGATAGAACCTAGAAACTTGAAGGACTCTACTGTTGATACTGTGTTGTCTAGTATTGTAAGAGGTGGTAGTATGGGAGGGTTTCTCCTAAAATCTACCACCATTTCTACAGTTTGAGTGTATTTAGTTCAAGATTGTTCTGGTTGCACCACAAGGCTAGTTGTTCAACTTCCTGTCTGTATGCAGATTCATCGTTGTCTTGAATGAGATCAATCACTGTTGTGTCATCTGCAAACTTCAGTATGATACACATACAGTACAGTATTCAGTACAGATACACGGATGTGACATAGGCATTAAAGGTTGGAAAACTCCCAAGTTTGCACTGGCTGACTCACTCACCAAGGTATAATTAATAAAGAGCACTTCTGCCAAATACTCATGAACTAAATGTTCTTTCAACAAATCAGCTCATTCTGCCATTAAATGAAAGAGCAATTGATTTATTTCAGCCGAGATATATTTCAGCAGATGGCTTCCATTGTGATCTTGGTTGAGTTTAGCTTTTATGCAGTTAACTGTGGTATGATGACCAAACCATAATTGATTCAGTTTTCACATGAAGCCAAAGCTTAACAAAGGATATCAATAAAATTCTGGGAGTCGAAGTACACACGTCATAAAGTTGCCAAGATTGGGAACTCCTGCACTAAGTATTTGCATGGTATGTATGTTATGTATTTGTGATTAAACTATACAGGATCAAACTCAGGGAGCTGGCTGGATCCCTCAGGACAGATCAGCTAAAGGAAGTTCCTGAACAAGAGTAAGACAAAGAACTAAACCAGGGGTCTGCAACCTTAAACGCTCAAAGAGCCATTTGCACCTGTTTCCCACAGAAAAGAAAACACCGGGAGCCACAAAACCCTTCCTGTGACTATTTCTTGAGCGGTCAAAAACTAGCCTATGTAGTTGAATTAAATGTTCGGTTTTCTTCTGAAACTTTTCTTTTCATGGATTTATCCATGGTTGGCCTACTGGCGGTTGAAAAGCTCAATAAACCGTGTGCCACTGGGTGTCGCACATTGGCAGCTGTGATGTATATTTTGAGTGACAAGGAGCCGCAGCAGAAGGGTGAAAGAGCCACATGTGGCTCCAGAGCCGCAGGTTGCTGACCCCCGAACTAAACTAAAATCATTGCTACGGCCACTAAGGACCAATGACCCATTTTTTGTTGCAGTTCAGCCATTAAGTACCGTATTTTTCAGAGTATAAGACACACTTCCCCCCCCTAAAAGAGGCTGAAAATTTGGGTGCGTCTTATACTCTGAATGTAGCCCTGGCCCACCTGCCGGGCCCCACTCTTTGGCCTCTGCGCATCCTCTTCCTGGCTGCAGAGATTGCCACAGACAATGGTTTGTGTTTTTGGGCACTGCGCCTCGTGTTTTCAGCCTCCAAATGCTCCGCTTGAGAGCCCTTCAAGGCTGCGGGGATCGCCAAAGCACATTGCCGCTGATCGCCGCCTCCATGCATTGCGTTTTCGGCCTCTGTGCATCATGTTTTTGGGCAGTGATCGGTGGTGATGTGCTTTGGCGATCCCCGCAGCCTTCAACGGCTCTCAAACGGAGCATTTGGAGGCCGTAAAATGTGAGGCGCGGAGCCCAAAATGGCAACCCAGAACACCTGCTGCCTTGTTTTACCGCTTCAGCGCTTCACCTGCTTTACTCACTGGAGCTCCTTCCGACAATCAGCTGTGCTTTTGAAGCTACTTATAAGCCCCAATGAGATGCGCACGTGCAAAGCAAATGTATAAAATGTGCTGAAGCTGACCAGGCTAAGGACGCTAGCCAGATAAATACCTGGTAGGCAGGGGCAGAATTTTTTTCCTCGCAGTTTCCTCCCCCAAAACTAGGGTGTGTCTTATACCTCGGTGCTTCTTATACTCTGAAAAATACGGTAACTGCAAATTGTTTGTGTGTATGTGATTAAAATATAGGCAAAAACATAAGGAACTGGCTGGATCATTGGGGACAGATCAGCTAGAGAAAGCTCCAGGCAAGAGGAACTGAAGACAAAGAATTAAAGACAATGGCAAGAGGAAGTCAAATAACTTAAAGAAAGTCACTGTGTACTGAGAAGTCAACAGAAAACATGTCATTGAAGACTGGCAATATGCCACCCCAGCAAGCTGAGCAGGTGCCGCAAGAAAAAGTACAGGTTTTGTTCACACAACACATTAACCCTGGCTATGTCTGCACAGAACGTTTAACCAGCCAACCCTTCTAAGTTCATCAACCCGATTGAATCTACAAGGTAACTAAGTGAGCGTAAAGGTTAGCCTGCAGGACAAAGTCAGATGCTGGAACATGTAACTAATCCAATTAAGTGTGCCTCATGAATGAACAACGTAGGTTGGAAGCCACAATCGGGAAACAGAGAAAACATCTTCATAAACCTCTGCTGCTTTCCATTAAGAAAGAAGCCAAGTTTGTCCAGTTGGGCTCTGCAGGTAGGAGTTGGTGTAAAATTTCCTCAAAATGGGGAAAGGAGGGCTTGGATTATAAAAGCAGGTAATGCTCGATTTACAACCATTCGTTTAGTGACCGTTCAAACTTAAAACGGCACTGAAAAAAAAAGAGATTTACGACCTTTTATCACACTAACAACTGTAGCGATATCCCCATGGTCATTGATCATAACTGGCAACTGGCATGTATTTATGGTACCATGTTTCCCCGAAAATAAGACCCTGTCTTATATTTTTTTTTAACCCTGAAATAAGCGCTTGGCCTTATTTTTGAGGTGGTCTTATTATTTGGGGGTGCATGTTGCAAGACAGGACTCTTCTTGCCGTCTTACCTGATTTCTAGCTCTGTCTCCCTAATCTTAACCCGAGGAAAGGCAGGGACCGGCTGCGAATGCGGTTAAATATTTTCGAGGAGGGCTTATTTTCAGGGAGGGCTTATTTTAGCACGTGCTCAAAAGCCCGATTGGGCTTATTATCCGGGGAGGTCCTATTTTCGGGGAAACAGAATAGTTGCACTGTCTCAGAGTCATGCCATCACATTTCTAACCTTCCCAACTGGCTTTCGGCAAGCAAAGTCGAAGGGGAAAGCTAGATTCATTTAATGACCGCTTGATTCACTTAATAACTGCAGAGGTTCATTTAACAACTGCGGCAAGAAAGGCCGTAGAATGGGGCAAAACAAAACTCACTTAACTGTATTAACAATGGAAATTTTGGGCTCAATTCTACAAAATTTTATCCTTAAGCAGGTGTGCTGTGTATTCACAGAGTGCGCCATTAATGCCTTTTTAATGGTCCGGATTACCTGCTCTGTGCCATCCAAAATTCATCGTTTTAGTAGGCTGCCGAGATGCCATCCAGAGAGAGAAAAGGCTGATCATCATGCTAGCAAAATCTGTCAATAGGTGGGCTGCATCGGTCATAATAGCCAGGCTGTGTGCAAAGTACCCTCCTGAAGAGAATAAAAGAGAGTTAGTTATCTATCTATCTATCTATCTATCTATCTATCTATCTATCTATCTATCTATCTATCATATATAAGATAAAAGTATAAACATTAATACATGAAATGAATACGAATAAAAGGGGAAATTAGGGCAGGGACGGTAGGCACACTGGTGCGCTTATGCAAGCCCCTTACAGACCTCTTAGGAATGGGGTGAGGTCAACAGTAGACAGTCTAAGGTGAAAGTTTTGGGGATTTGGGGAAGAAACTACAGAGTCAGGTAGTGCATTCCAGGCATTGACCACTTTGTTGCTGAAGTCATATTTCCTGCAATCAAGTTTGGAGCGGTTTACCTTGAGTTTGTATCTATTGTGTGCTCGTGTATTGTTGTGGTTGAAGCTGAAAAAGTCATTGACAGGTAGGACGTGGTGGCAGATAATTTTATGTACTATGCTTAGGTCAGACCGAAGGTGGCGTAGTTCTAAGCCCAAAATTTCAAGTCTGGTGGCATAAGGTATTTTATTGTAGTTATAGTTATAGTTATAGTATAGTTCAGTGGTGAAATCCAATTTTTTTTACTACCGGTTCTGTGGGCGTGGCTTGGTGGGCATGGCTTGGCTTGGTGGGCGTGGCTTGGTGACATGGTAGGGGAAGGGAATGGGGAAAATCCCCATTTCCTCCACACTCCTGGGGGAAGGATATTGCAAAATCTCCATTAACACCCCACTCTGGGGTGTTACCGGTTCTCCGGACCGGTGACACCCGGTCACCGTGAGGTGAGGTGGCATTACCGGTTCTCCAGACTACTCAAAATTTCCGCTACCGGTTCTCCAGAACCTGTCAGAACCTGCTGGAGTTCACCGCTGGTATAGTTAGTATAACTAGTATACTAACTCTAGTTTGTAGTACTAACTAGTTACGGGCTTTGCCCAGATTCTTCTTCCTGGTTAAGAGTCTCTACCTAGCTTTCTCCCTGCCATGCTAGATTTCAACATGTCTGGAGCATTTCAAGACAGCAGCATGCTTGCTCAATACATTCGTAGCAGACATGATCTCAGGAATGTCTGTTAGACCCACTAAGTCAGATGTAGGGAATGATGGCCCCTTTATGACTTGTGGACTTCAACTCCCAGAATTCTTGAGCCAGCCATTCTGAGAGTTTAAGTCCACAGGTCGTAAAAGGGCCCTCATTCCCAGTGGTGAAATCCAATTTTTTTTACTACCGGTTCTGTGGGCGTGGCTTGGTGGGCGTGGTGTGGCTTGGTGGGTGTGGCAGAAGGATACTGCAAAATCCCCATTTCCTCCACACTTCTGAGGGAAGGATACTGCAAAATCTCCATTCCCACCCCACTCTGGGGCCAGCCAGAGGTGGTATTTGCCGGTTCTCCGAACTACTAAAAATTTCCGCTACCGGTTCTCCAGAACCTGTCAGAACCTGCTGGATTTCACCCCTGATCATTCCCTACCTCTGCAGTAGATGAACCAGGCCAGAAATTCAGTTCCACAGGAAGGCTAAAATGACCTTTTATTGAGATTGGGTGTAATAGCAATAGCAATAGCATTTAGGCTTATATACTGCCCCATAGTGCTTTACAGCACTCTCTGGCCAGTTTACAATGTAGAATCATTATTTGCATATTGCCCCAACCATTTGAGTCCTCATTTTACCGACCTCGGAAGGGTGGAAGGCTGAGTCAACCTTGAGCCGGTCAGGATCGAACTTCAGGCGGTGGGCAGAGTTTACCTGCAATACTTCGCTTAACCCCTGCACCACCAGGGCTAATATCAGAATCTTGCAAATTTAATTGTGCTGCTAAATCCTCCCCTTCTGATTTTCCAGTGAATTAAAGAGGCGTCAGTCGATTCAAGAGCATCGTCTGATTTCCCAGGATTGGCAAACATTACAGCCTCTTTTCTTTAGGTTCTTGCAGATCTTCACCAAGGTCATCTCCACCAACAATTTGTACTCCTTTGCCCTAAATGCCATTGGATCACTCCAACCACCAGCTCGCCTCCAAAGGCAGCCTCCAAGGGCCTCGCAGAGCCTTCAAAATGTTAGCCGCCTACCTGCAATTTCCCCCGTCATGAAGATCAAGCAGATGGCGGAAGCAAGATAAAGCTTCCGACGAGCTCGTTTTTGCTCAGCGTTGTTGCCATTGCTGGCTGCCCAGCTGGAGTGACAGTGCAGGTTTCCTATGAGGTCCAGCTCGAGAGAAGAGAGGCCAGGTACAAAGCCAACCACTGAACCATGGAAGTCCTTTTCTGAGACTCCTAAATAGGACCTGCATTGGAAAGAACACAGTTTTAGAAAGAGAGTCTCTCCACTCCCAAAGCATTAATGTATATGCCCCGCTGGGCTTGTCAACCAGAAGGTCGACCGTTCGAGACCCAAATGTCGTATGATGGAGTGAGCTCCTGTTACTTGCTCCAGCTGCTGCCTACCTAGCAATTCAAAAGCATGCAAATGCAAGTAGATAAATAGGTACCACTTCGGTGGGAAGGTAACAGAATTCTGTGCACCTCAGCATAAAAATCACACTGTCACATGACCGCAGAAGCGTCTTCAGACAATGCTGGCTCTCTCACAGGGGTGAAATCCAGCAGGTTCTAACATGTTCTGGAGAACCGGTAGCAGAAATTTTGAGCAGTTCGGAGAACCGGAAAATACCACCTTTGGGTGGTCCCAGAATGGGGTGGGAATGGAGATTTTGCAATATCCTTCCCCTGCCATGCCCACCAAGCCACACCTACAGAACCGGTAGGGAAAAATTTTGGATTTCACCCTGCTCTCTTGGCTAAGAAACAGAGATGAACAGCAGCCACTAAACTTGGACACAACTGGACAAGGGGAACCTTTACCTTTACATACTTACAGGCAGGGTGGATAAAAATCAATGATTTTTTTTAAAAAAATCAAAAAAATCAGATTTTTTTTATTTAAATCGGATTTTTTTGATTTTTATTGAATTTATTTTAATAAAAAACTTTTGGGGTAAAAATCTATTGTAAGATAGTTTTCTATTTAAGATACATAAATAATTTAGTTTATTCAGCATGAAATGAAGCTTAGTTATGTAGCATGAGGCTGTATATTCTGCAACACTGGGACTATCGGTGAGTCAACAGTGGGTCGAAGGAGTAGCAGAGATAACAGTTGCTCTTTAAAAATTATGATTTAAATCGAGTTGATTTAAATCAAGCCTTTTTACTAGTGATTTAAATCATGATTTAAATTGTGATTTAAATCAACTTGATTTAAATCAAATCCACCCTGCTTACAGGTTTCGCCTATTAGTCTCCCTTACTCAATTGTACATGCATTAAGTGTCCTATTGGAAGGCCCAAGCCATGGGACAAGACAGTGAGTTGCAACTGAATCCAATCCTTTATTTGCTGACACCCAATACTGTAAACGGAATCTTGCCAAACTAAAGCTATCACTGTCTAAGTTAAATATACCCTAAGAGATTCAAGGATTTGGTTATTCTGAACCTCTTCCCCCTTCTCCTTTCCAGCTTGCAAATCCACCGTTGCCTGATCTGGGTCTCTATCTTGGAAAGTTCTGAACTGGCACAATCCTCCCCCTTTGATGCTGGTGCACTCTCCATCACACCTACTGAACATCCCTGGTTAGGCATTCTGGAATTAAAGTGCAGCACATCTGCAGAGCTCAAAGTTCAGAAGCCTACTGCTCTGGGTTAACATTGTAAGACGCTGTTTGATGATAGTTTAGGGTTCACACCAGGGGTGAAATGCTCCCGGATTGGACTGGATCGCCTGGTCCAGTAGCGATCTCAGCCGGTGGTTCGGCGATCCGGTAGCAATGGGGGAGCAAAGCTCCGCCCACCCGCCCAGGTGTCATTACTTCCTGGTTTTAACCAGGAAGTAATGTGTTTTTACCTTCTGCGCACATGTAGGTCTTGCACATGCGCAGGTCTGCGTGCGCACATGACATGCATGCGTAGCACGTGCACTTCCGAACCGGTAAGGAAGGTAAGTAGATTTCACCCATGGTTCACACCAATGGCATAACAACTTGAAGCACTGTGTGAACCCAATGGATGTGTTCACCAAACATCAAATCATATTATGATTTTCTGGAAAAAAATTACTTATGATCAATCTATTTATTACAGTCTTAGACCAGAGACCAGAACAAATAAAAAACGCTCAGTAAATATACAATTAAAAGTTCTAGTATAAAATAATAAATAACAACTAAAATCTATAATAAAATCCAGTCTGTCCATTATACGTGGTCTAACTATACTTGTAGGTTTTTCCCTGATCCCACTCTCAGGGTTGGGAAAATAGAATAGATGTGCAGAAATGGACAAACTAACAAAGGAGATACAAGAAAAAGAGGAAACAGAATATTACTTAGTATGTAGAATATTACTTAATAAGATAGAATAGGATGGAAGGGAAGGGAAGGGAAGGGAAGGGAAGGGAAGGGAAGAGAAGAGAAGAGAAGAGAAGAGAAGAGAAGAGAAGAGAACTCTTTATTGGCCAAGTGTGATTGGACACACAAGGAATTTGTCTTTGGTTCATATGCTCTCAGTGTACATAAGGAGAATAAAATACATTCATCAAGAATAAAAAGATACAACACTTAGTGCTAGTCAAGGTTACTAATAAGCTATCAAATTGTACTAGGAAACAAATAAAAACAATATAAATTGAAAGATAAAAGCAACATGGTTATAGTAATAAGTGGGAAGAAATAGATACTACTAAGAGAGAGAAAAAGAATAGTAATACAGCCTTACTAAATAGTTTGAGTGTTGTGGGAATTAGTTGTTTAGCAGAGTGATGGCATGGGGGAAAAACTGTCCTTGTGTCTAGTTGTTCTGGTGTGCAGTGCTCTATAGCGTCCTTTTGAGGGTAGGAGTTGAAACAGTTAATGTCCAGGATGTGAGGGGTCTGTAAATATTTTCACAGCCCTCTTTTTGACTCCTGCAGGATACAGGTCCTCAATGGAAGGCAGGTGGGTAGCCATTGTTTTTTCTGCATATTACAATTGAGAATCTACCCGTTTGCATTAATCCTTTGAGGAAAACCAGAGATTCGCCCCTCACCCTCCCCCCATATGTAAACTTCTTTCCGAACGAACTTAAAGGACCTCAAAGTTGTTTGCGAGAGATAATGGCTTTCTCACGGCACACCTGAGGGAGGCTCGCAGAAATCTGGCGCCATCTTTTCCCCCCCTTCTTTTTGGGAATATAGGACTTGCGGTTGCCTTGCTCTTAGCAGATACAAAGCAAGCAGACATTCAACAGGTGAAGAAGCCCTCCCAAATAGCTGCTTCGTACTAAAGAACGCACACCCGTTCCTGAACAACGGGGGTGGCAATAAGAAAAAGCAGCCCTTTTATTTTTTACCAACATTTTTTTTTTTTAAGTAGCGGACGGGCGAGATATTTGAACGCCTTTATGAGAACATAAAGTTGAAATGGAACAAGTCCAAACCGGGGTGGTGGTGGAGGGGGGGCTGCTTATTCCAATCTCTGCAACTTTAAAAAAAATCAGGTTTGGCAAAAAATAATAATAATAATAAAATAAAGGGGGTGCTTTCTCTGATTGAGAATCCTTTTGATTCATTGGGTTGGCGGCATGGGGAGGCGGGGGAAGAGGGCCCTTCTGAAGACAGCCAAGATCGCGGATTCCTCCGGGCATTTCCCCATCCACCTGAGGAGCCGAGCCTTCCTTCGGATCAATTTGGGAGATTTACTTCCGAGGAAGCCCGGGCTTTAGGAGGCCGCTTTAACTGTGGCTGGGGTGCCATGCGCGGGAGACTCGGCCACGCGATCAGCCACGGGAGCGGAGGAGGGTGGCTGGACGGAAACCCGGGCAGAGGCGATTGGCATCGTCGTCGGGGGTGGGGGGAGAAGTTGGAAGGAAGGAAGGAAGGAAGGAAGGAAGGAAGGAAGGAAGGAAGGAAGGAAAGAAAGAAAGAAAGAAAGAAAGAAAGAAAGAAAGAAAGAAAGAAAGAAAGAAAGAAAGAAAGAAAGAAGAAAAAAGAAAGAAAGAAAGAAAAGAAAGAAAGAAAGAAAGAAAGAAGAAAGAAAGAAAGAAGAAAAGAAAGAGAGAAAAGAAAGAAAGAAAGAAAGAAAGAAAGAAAGAAAGAAAGAGGGAGGGAGGGAGGAGAGGGGAGAGAGAAAGAGAGAAAAGGAAGATGGAAAGGAAAGGAAGAAAGAAAGAGGAAAGAAGGAAAGATGGGAAGGAAAGGAAAGAAGGGAAGGGAGAGGGCAGGAGAGGAGAGAGAAAGAAAGAAAGGGAAGGGAAGAAAAGATGGAAAGGAAAGGAAAGAAAGAAGGAAAGATGGGAAGGAAAGAAGGGAAGGGAAGGAAAAAAGGGAAGGGAGAGGGCAGGAGAGGAGAGAGAAAGAAAGGGAAGGGAAGAAAAGATGGAAAGGAAAGGAAAGGAGAAAGGAAAGGAAAGGAGGAAAGAAAGAAAGAAGGAAAGGAAAGAAAAGAAGGAAAGGCAGAGGGCAAGAGAAGAGAGAGAAAGAAAGGGAAGGGAAGAAAAGATGGAAAGGAAAGGAGAAAGGAAAGGAACGAAAAGAAGGGAAGGGAGAAGAGAGGAGAGAGAAAGAAAGGGAAGGAAAGATGGAAAGGAGAAAGAAAAGAAGGGAAGGGAGAAAGGAACCCTTCCCGGGACCCACCTGCTTTCCGCCCCGTTGAGCAGGTGGCTTTTTTCCACCCCGCCGCGCTTGCCATCCATCATCCTTCGCCAACAGGTGCGCCCTTCCCCGAGCCGCGGCTCTTCTGCGCTCCCTTCGCCCGCTCGCCTTCCTTCCTTCTTTCCTTCCTCCCTCCCGAAAGGAGCTGGTCGCCCGCCTGCTCCGCCGCCTCTTATCTCGGCTGGGCGAGCAACCAGCCCGGGTGAAAAACGTCGCGGATTCGTGCGCAAAAGGCCCGCGGGGGCAGAGGAGGGTGGGGGGGAGAGAAGAGAAAAGCGGGCGCTGCGCTCCGCCCGCAAAGTTTGCCGAAGTTTTGGAGGGCGCGCTGCCCCGACCCTCGGCCCCAAGGCCCAGAAGGAGACCCCGCCTCAAATCCCCCCTAGACCAGGGGTCTCCAACCTTGGCAACTTTAAGCCTGGAGACTTCAACTCCCAGAATTCCCCAGACAGCTTTGCTGGCAGGGGTCTGCAACCCTTGGCAACTTTAAGCCTGGAAGACTTCAACTCCCAGAATTCCCCAGCCTTCTGGGAGTTGAAGTCTTCCAGGCTTAAAGTTGCCAAGGTTGAAGACCCCTGCCCTAGACCCCTGGGAGTTGAAGTCTTCCAGGCTTAAAGTTGCCAAGCTTGCAGACCCCTGCCTTAGACCCCTGAAGACCGGGGAAAGCTTTGCTTCTTCTGGACGCCGCTTTGAGGGGCCCCTCGAGGTCAGCCGCTCGGTCTCGGGGGGGCGGATAGTAGACGGAGCTGGCGCGGCTAGCTGCACCGACGTAGGATGGGGGTGGTAGACCAGGGGAGCTGGGCAATGCCAGCCCAGGTGCCCGGGCCATGAGGATCTGCGTTTATAAGGGAAGCCAGTAAACCATGGTTTAAGTAAACCGTGTTTGGGGTAACGTTAGAAGTGGCTTACGGGGTGGGGAAGTGGGGGGGGGGGCGACCTTCCAGTAAATCCTGGCGGCGCAGGATTTCTGCTCGGTTTGGAGCCTCCTAAAAAACGACCCCGGAGTTCCCCCCCAAATGGGCTCTTAAAAAATGAAGTTTTTTTCCGAAAAACTCCGCCGAGGCCACCCACGCGATGGGCTCCGAATATATCCTTTGCACACGCGCCTGCTTTACAAAAAAAAAATAAAAAAATAAAAATAAAAAAATAAAGTTGCGCAAATACAACCCCTTTGCTTCCCGCCCTTAACCGATTTCCCCCGTCCTGCTAAGTCATCGTGTGATCTGTTGTTTGCTTCACGTCTCGGGTCTTTTGCAATCCGATCATTGGTGGTTTTGTGTGACGCGGTTCGCTGGCCCCATCCTAATACAGGAGTCCAATCCAGCCACATGCCTGGTTGGTTCCTGAAATGATGGCAGGTCAAAAGCCCTAGATTAGTAGAATAGAATGGAATGGAATAGGAATAGGAATAAATTAGAATAGAATGGAATGGAATGGAATGGAATAGGAATAAATAGAATAGAATAGGATAGGATAGGATAGGATAGGATAGGATAGGATAGGATAGGATAGAATGGAATGGAATGGAATGGAATGGAATGGAATGGAATAGGAATAGGAATAGGAATAGGAATAGGAATAGGAATAGGAATAGGAATAGGAATAGGAATAGGAATAGGAATAGGAATAAATAGAATGGAATGGAATGGAATGGAATGGAATGGAATGGAATGGAATGGAATGGAATGGAAAAGGAATAGGAATAGGAATAAATAGAATAGGAATAGGAATAAATAGAATAGAATAGAATAGGAATAGGAATAGGAATAAATGGAATGGAGTGGAGTGGAGTGGAATGGAATGGAATGGAATGGGACTAGGAATAGGAATAGGAATAGGAATAGGAATAGGAATAAATAGAATGGAATGGAATGGAATAGGAAAAGGAATAGGAATAGGAATAAAAATAAATAGAATGGAATGGAATAGGAATAGGAATAAATAGAATAGAAAAGAGTAGAATAGAATAGGAATAAATTGAACTGAATTGAATTGAATTGAATTCTTTATTGGCCAAGTGTGATTGGACACACAAGGAATTTGTCTTGGGTGCATATGTTCTCAGTGTACATAAAAACACAAGATACATTCGACAAGAATCATAAGGTACAACACTTAATGATAGTCATAGGGTACAAATAAGGAATCAAATCATTTGTTGTTAGTTGCGAAGTCATATCTGACCCATCGTGACCCCATGGACAATGTTCCTCCAGGCCTTCCTGTCCTCTACCATCCCCTGGAGTCCATTGAAGCTCACGCCAACTGCTTCAGTGACTCCATCCAGCCACCTCATTCTCTGCTGTCCCCTTCTTCTTTTGCCCTCAATCGTTTCCCAGCATTGGGCTCTTCTCCAGTGAGTCCTTCCTTCTCATTAGGTGGCCAAAGTATTTCAGTTTCATCTTCAGGATCTGGCCTTCTAAAGACCAGTCAGGGTTGATCTCCTCTAGGACTGACCGGTTTGATTGCCTTGCAGTCCAAGGGACTCGCAGGAGTCTTCTCCAGCACCAGAGTTCAAAGGCCTCAATTCTTTGGCGCTCAGCCTTTCTTATGGTCCAACTTTCACAGCCATACATTGCAACTGGGAAAACCGTAGCCTTGACTATACGCACTTTTGTTGGCAGGGTGATGTCTCTGCTTTTTAATATGCTGTCTAGATTTGCCATAGCTTTCCTCCCCAGGAGCAATCGTCTTTTAATTTCTTGGCTGCAGTCCCCATCTGCGGTGATCTTGGAGCCCAGGAAAATAAAATCTGTCCAATCCAGTCAATGCCTGGTTGGTTCAAGAAATGGTGGTGGATCAAACTTTAGATTAGTAAGATCTGTGTGCACCTAATCAAAAAGCAAGGAAATTTTGTGACTGACAATCTACAACTCCTCCTTGTGTAAGGGCAGTCTATCCCAAAGGGCAGTCTACTCCCGCCCTAGTCACCTCCCAGTTGGACTACTGCAATGCTCTCTACGTGGGGCTGCCCTTGAAGAGTATCTGGAAATTTCAGCTGAATGCAGTGGCCACAAGCAGTTATATGTGTTACTAACACACCACACACCATACCTCTGCTTTGCAAGCTGCATTGCATACCAGTCTGTTTCTGGGTCCAATTTAAGGATTTTGACCTTTAAAGCTCTAAGTCTGGGGTCTGCAACCTTAAGCACTCACTCAAAGAACCATTTGGACCCGTTTCCCACAGAAAAGAAAACACCAGGAGCCACAAAACATAGGTGGGCATGGCCAACTCGATGTCACTCACTTCCACCAGACACTCCCCCCCCCAGCCACGCCTACCCAGCTGGTCATTAGGGCAGAGAACCAATTGTTAAAAAACACTGGGAACCACAAAACCCTTTTGACATCTCTCTCTCTCCCCTCCCTCCCTCCCTCCCCCCTCTCTCTCCCTCCCTCCCTCTCTCTCTCTCCTCCTCCCTTTCTCTCTCTCTCTCTCTCTCTCCCTCTCTCTGTATCTCTGTGTCTCTGCCCTGGCTGCTTCTTCATCCCCCACCATCACCCTTACCTTCTCAGGCTAGGTAAGGACTGACTGGGAGGGGTGGGGCCAGCCAGTGGTGAGATCACCCAACGGAGCCACAGTAGAGGGCCCAAAGAGCCGCATGTGGCTCCGGAGCCGCAGGTTGCTGACCCCTGCCCTAGGTTATTTAAGAGATCTGATTTCATCTGCCCATCCCAACTTATCCAGCAGAAAAGATGTGCTACAGGTCCCATCTGCTAGGGTCCTGTTTTGGTGGGTGCTAAGCAGAAGGCCTTTTCTACCATGGCACTCACTTTATGGAATACCTTCCTCTGCCTCCTTCCCAAAAGGAGGCTGGCGCAATCCCTGTTGATTTTCTGGGAGCCTTTTAAAACCTCTTATGCCATCAGGCCTGCGAGCTGAGTTGACTAACATCTGCTCTTACCCTAATATGTGTTCCCTCTCAGCCTTCATTTTTCTAAAAAAAAATTAATAATACGGGTAGTCCTTGACTTACAACAGTTTGCTTAGTGACTGTTCGAAGTTACAACGGCCCTAAAATAAGTGACTTACGACCGTTTTTCACAGACGGTCGCAGCATCACGTGATTTACCTTCGCATGCTTGACAACTGACTCATATTTATGATGGTCATAGAGTCCCGGGCTCACCTGATCCCCTTTTACGACCTTCTGACAAGCAAAGTCAACGGGGAAGCCAGATTCACTTAACAACCGGGTTACTAATTTAACAACTGCAGCGATTCACTTAACAAACGTGGCAAGAAAAGTCTTAAAATGGGGCAAAACTCACTTAACAAATTTCTCACTTAGCAACAACAATTGTGGTCGTAAGTTAAGGCCTACCTGTAATTTTTTTAAAATATACCCGTATTTTCCGGAGTATAAAACGCACCGAAGTATAAGACGCACCTTAGTTTTTGGGGAGGAAAATAGGATGGGGGGGAATTCTGCCTATCAGGTATTCATCTGGCTAGTCCAAGCACATTAGTTTGCTCGCTGGTTTTGAGGTTGGGGCTGATTGGTGCTAAAAAACAGTTTCTAAGACACAGCTGATTGTCAAAGGGAGCAGCAATTAGAAAAGCAGGCAAAGCACGGAAGATCGCTTCGCTCGGGTTGGGGCTGAAAAACAGCTTCAAAAGCACAGCTGATCCTCAGAGGGAACTCCAGTGACTAAAGCAGGCAAAGCATGGAAGGGGTAAGAAAAGGCAGCAGCTGTTCCGGGTAGCCATATTGGGCACTGCGCGGGGTTACATTCTGAGTACAAGATGCACCCAAATTTTCAGCCTCTTTTAGGAGGGGAAAAAGTGTGTCTTATAGTCCAAAAAATACGGTATTAATTGTTTTTATCCTTCTTGTACATCACCCTGAGTCACTTGTTTGTGAGATGGGCGGTTATATAAATTTGGGAAACGAAGCATCTAGTACAGCACATACCCTTAATATGTTTAGGCTCAGGAGGTTTTGTAGCACTCTTGGTAGATAGAGCGCTAAGTACAAATGCAAACTACAGGAATTAACTTTGAGCTGATTTAGTGTTTCCTCCTATCCAAGGCCTTATTATATTTATTATCCATGAAACATGCAGAAGCCACCTGTACACTGAACTATAAAATAGCCTATTGCAGTTTGGCAGCTTATGACTTCATTTGCTGTGCAAATGCAGGAAAGGGATTTAACCGTGTCAACCAAGGACAAGTATCTCGTATATAGGTAGTCCTCGAGTTACGACCACAACTGAGCCCCAAATTAATATTGCTAAGTGAGACATTTGTTAAGTGAGCTTTGCCCCGACCTTTTTTGCCGCAGTTGTTAAATGAATCATTGCAGTTGTTAAGTGAGTCACATGGTTGTTAAGTGAATTTGGCTTCTCCGTTGACTTTGCTTATCAGAAGGTCGCAAAAAGGAGATCAGGTGACCCCGGGACACTGCAAATGTCATAAATATGAATCGGTTGCCAAGCATCTGAATTTTGATCCTCTGACCATGGGGATGCTGCAATGGTCGCAAGTGTGAAAAATGGTCATAAGTGTGAACAACGGTCATAAGTCACTATTTCGGTGCCATGGTAACTTTGAATGATCACTAAATGAACTGTTTTAAGTTGAGGACTACCTGTAATTTTTGACTGAACAGTCAGGGAAGTTGAAGGAGCAGATGAACTTCTACAGCGGGTTTACACATCATGTATAAACCGTGGTTTGCTTGGCCACGGTTTACTGAATCAATCAGAAATATTGACTGTAGATGCATACCATATACCCATGATGTCGAACCTATGGCATGCGTGCCACAGGTGGCATGCGTAGCCATATCAGTGGGCACGCCAGCTCAGCTCTGGCGCGCATGCGCGTGTCAGCCAGCTGATTTTCGGGCCTTCTGGGCCCACCAGAAGTAGGGAAACAGGCTGTTCCTTGCCTCCAGAGAGCCTGGGGGGGGGGAGGCCCATTTTTCTTTCTCACCTGGCTCCAGATCCTCTCTATGCATCTGGGGAGGGTGAAAACAGCCTTCCCCACCCCCTCGGAGGCCCTCTAGAGGCCTGAAACAATGCCCGGCAATTACCTTTGACCCCATATCCAGAGTATCTCACATTCTACTACAGTGATCAGAGGTATGCTGCACTGAAACATGGAGGGTTTATTTTAGCCACCAATAGAAAAGAAAAAAGCTATTAATGATATTCCCTCCCCCTATTTACAAGTAATCCTTTGAGAGAGCGGCTTAAAATAAGGCCGTCGCCAATTTTTGTGGCAACACGTTTTACAGGTTGTTTGCCTACTGTTAAAAACACTTGGCCTCCAGATAAAATGGAAATTTATTTTATTATGTAACTATATACAACAAAGAAGAAAAACCAACAAACGTCATTTACATTTGCTTCGAGGCGCAGACAGTATTTTTCATAGATTAAAAAGCACAACGAAATCGACTTTTGCTTGACTACCTCCTGTCTGCTCATGGAAACGGTTTTTAACTCATTCCCAGAATCCACTGCCTTCAGTTGGTGGAAGGGTGTGCTCTGATGTGAACCTAATGAACAAAATCTTATATTTTCTTTAACAACAGCCCCCCCCCCCAAAAAATAATCAAGTGTCCTGAACAATTATGTACAAAAAGAAATCACAATATATAACATGTATGAAAGGTTCCATGTTGCACCCGTGTATAAAGTGTCTCTGTGCGTTTCTGCCTTCCTGCATTGCCACGAATTCTACATCCCAAACGATCCTTCATCAGCCGGGCTTTGCCCTGTATACTTGATGGGCATCCAGTTTGGGTTTCCCCCACCCCATCCCTCCTCTTCCTCTATCCAAATCCTACAGAGCCGGTTATTCTGCTTGCTTCCTCCTTGGAATTTCATGTTCTTTCCTGGTTACTGTGTACCTGCAAGAAAACAGGAGGGAAATGCGTGAAACCATTTGAAGACAAAGCATTCAAGATTTGGGCCGCAGCCAAAGTTTCTCAAGGTTAGGAAGAAGCAGAGGCATGAGCCAAAACCCTCTTCTGGGGGAATGGGGGGGGGGGAAACGGGACAACTTGCCAAGAAAAGGGACACAATTGAATGGAAGAGAAAAAAATACAAGTAATCCTCAATTTATGACCACAGTAGGGAAGCAGAATTTCCGTTGCTGAGAAAGGCGGCTGTTTAGATGACGGATTAACAAAGTTGGAAGGGATTTGAACTGGAGGACTTCAACTCCCAGAATTACCAAGAGCCTTGGTGGCGCAGCAGACTAAAGCACTGTTAAGTAACACCAGCTGCCTGCAATTACTGCAAGTTCAAATCTCACCAGGCTCAAGGTTGACTCAGCCTTCCATCCTTCCGAGGTAGGTAAAATGAGGACCCGGTTTGTGGGGGCAATAAGCTGACTTTGCATATAAAAAAAAAAAGAACACCATTTAGGGGGGGCCGAAAGCCATACTAAGCAGGTATGTACAAAAGTATGAAGGCTATTGCTTAACGCATTGTAAGCTGCCCTGAGTCTCCGGAAAAGGGCGGCATATAAATCGAACCAATAAATAAATTTCCCAGCCAGCTGGCTGGGGAATTCTGGGAATTGAAGTCCGTCAGGCTTAAATTTGCCAAGATTGGAGACCCCTGATCTAGTCCAACCCTCCACCCAAGGAGGAGACCCTACACAATTTCTGACAGATGGCAGTCCAGTCTCTTCTTGAAAGCTTCCAGTGATGAGGCTCCCACAACTTCTGAAGGCAACTTCTGTTCCATTGATTGATTGCTCTCACTGTCACTGTCCTTATTTCTAGGTTGAATCTCTCCTTGTTCAGTTTCTATCCATTATTCCTTGTCTGGCCTTCAGGTGCTTTGGGAAATAGCTAGACCCCCCTCCTCTCTGTGGCAGCCCCTCAAATATTGGAACACTGCTATCATGTTGATAAGATCACTGTTTAGTTAGGCCCAATTTTATTACCTTTCTTGCCATGGTTGTTAAGTGAATCAGACTGGCATTAAGAAATTAAGAAGCTGGATAGGAAGGTTGCAAATGCATGGCCCCCAGGGATGCTGCAATCATTGTAAGTACAACCTGTTGTAAATACATGACCGAAGTTTGATCCCATGGGGATGCCGCAACAGTCATAAGTGCAAAAATAGGTCATGAATCCCTTTTTTCATCATTGTTGTAAACTTCAAAGGGTCATTAAATGAACGGTTTGTAAGCCGAGGACTATGTGCAATGCTGCATTCAGTGCTCATCTCAAAAAAATATATATATTAAGATTGTATATTTCTGGAAGACCTAATATTTCCCGTTTGTTTCTTACCATCTGTTTGCCCAACTGGCTGCTCCTCTTCTGTTTCGTCTTCCTCATTCAGTTCATCATCATCTTCATCTTTGGGAGGGGGGAAAGGGGGGGGGAGGAGATAATTTAGATCCACATTCCAGAACAGAGCTATGGAGCTGTCTCTTTAAGTATCTCAGATGCTTATGAAGTCCTTGGGAATCTTTATTTCTAACTCAACTGCTGTCTATTAACTTTGTACCTCTTGCCACACAAAAGGTGTGTTAAATTTGCTTGTGCATTAGAATGTTAGAAAGTGCCACTTTCATCATGGGAATCAGCAGAGATTAGCTCCAAAACAAGTATGGAAGGAAGTTAAACTGGAGACCAGCAAGGAATCTGCTGTCCAAAATCCCCTACTGATGAAAAACTGATGAATGTTGTCATAGTATTTACTATTTCCTGAAGATTTATCTGGATTTGGCACTCCTTCCCATAATAAACTAATGTCAGTATTTGATGAAATACATTTGGCACCCAGGACGCTAGGTATTATTAGACTGTTGGTATGCAAAAAATAATAACCTGGTGCACAATGCTGTTTGCTGCAATGATTTCCATATTATTATTATTTTTCCTTTTATGACTTTGTAATCCCTTGCTTCGGGGTGGGATTGGGGCAACTGAGTGGAGCTGAGCGTTGACTGGCCGGGTGCCCTTCCTGACACCTATATGGAGTTTGCAGTAGATATTTTCTCTTTGCGCCCTGGTAGAGAAACATCTGTTGGTAGGATTGAACTGTCAACCTTCCGAGTGGGAGGTGAATGTTTTCACCTCTAGGTCACTGCGCTGCAGTTTCCATATTAATTAGGTAAAGGTAAAGGTTCCCCTCGCACATATGTGCTAGTCTTTCTCAACTCTAGGGGGTGATGCTCATCTCCGTTTCAAAGCCGAAGAGCCAGTGCTGTCCGAAGACGTTTCCGTGGTCATGTGGCTGACATGACTCAACGCCAAAGGCGCATGGAACTCTGTTACCTTCCTACCAAAGGTGGTCCCTATTTTTCTACTTGCCTTTTTTACGTGCTTTCGAACTGCTAGGTTGGCAGTTGCTGGGATAAGTAACGGGAGCTCACCCCATTACACGGCACTAGGGATTTGAACTGCTGAACTGCCAACCTTTCAACTGACAAGCTCATCATCTTAGCCACTGAGCCACTGCATCCCACCTGATTAATTAGGTCCCGCGTCCCACCTAATTAATTAATATGCCATACTACTTTCTCTATCAAGGGGAATGTATTTGATAAATCAGAAGATTTAGAAGAGCCATGTTTCATTCAGGGATATTAGCAATATAGCTAAACTTCAGGTTATACTTCTTCCATCCCGACTGGGCACCTCTGGGTGATCATACCTGCCTCGAAGTCGATGCTTCTCAAGGCTTCTGTGATACTTTCCAAATCTACGGTGAAGTAGTCCATGTTTTCAAAGCCTGTCTCGACCTTCTCCAACTGGCCACCTTTTGATGCATCCACGATTCTGGAACACAGATGAGAAAGGATGCGGTTGCCTTTTATCCTGCTCTCAGGCAATCCGCTGTAGGTTTTGGGCTGTCATTCAAACAAAAGGTGCTGTACTCTTTTATAGGTCTTTCTACCATTATGGGACTCAACCCTGAGATTTTTGAAGGATGTCTGGCAATATTTTATTAGATAAATAAAATAAGAAAAAGAACTGGAATGAAAGGAAGGGAGGGAGGCTGATCGAATACCCTTTCCCCTTTTTATAAATACAGGTATTCCTCAACTTACAGTCACATTTGAGCACAAAACGTATGTTGTTAAGTGAGACATTCGTTAAGTGAGTTTTGCCCCATTTTAGGATCTTTCTAGCCCGAGTCATTAAGTGAATCATTGCAGTTGTGAAGTTAGTAACACGGCTGTTAAGTGAACCTGGCTTCCCCATTAACTTTGCTCACAAAAGCTGTTCACATGACTCCGAGACACTGCAACCGTCACAACTATGAGTCAGTTGCCAAGCATCTGAATTTTGGTCATGTGACCATGGGGATGTTGCAACAGTCATGTGAAAAATGATCGTGTCGCTTTTGTTTTCCAGTGTCATTATAACTTTGAACGGTAACCAAATGAACTGTTATAAGTTGAGGATTATCTGTAACTCCGTGTTAAACTTTCTTGGGGTCTGCCCTCCATTTACATTCTCCACAAGGGCCCCACAGGTAAATGTTCTGTCATACATAAAATAGGTTTCAATTAGTTACAAGCTCCGTTTTCGCTGGCAGAGGGTTGCAGGAGGCCGTCCCAGTTGAAAATAGAGATTGGGACTCAGGCTGCCACAAGCGCCCCTGACATGAGTGACATCAAGCTGGCCACGCCCACCCCGGTCCCCCGAGGTCAAACGCAACCCGGATGCGGCCCTCAATGAAATTGAGTTTTGTCACCCCTGAACTAGACAATTAAGCTAACAAACTAGTCAGCTTTAACGTAATTTAAATGTCACCCAACCACACAGTGTCCTTCCTGCTTGGATCCTCTCTGAACTTATTTACTTAGGATTTACTGTTTTGTTTACAAAAATGGCAGTTTAGAAATATGTTTTCAGGACTTACGTTTTAATAAGTTGCTTGGCGGTCTGGAAGGAGAAAGAGAAAAGGTCAAAACAGGGAATGAAAAACGTTCAGCTTGAAATCGCTAAAATCAGTAAAATCATCTTGAGTCTCCCAGAAATGATTGATTGATTGCCCTAATAAAATGTTGAAGGCACACACACACAAAATATTGAAGTGCAATTGTACAGTTGCACGGTGTTGCAATTAGAAACATTTTATTTTCTATTCCAGTTTGGGGTTACTCTAATTACAATGAAAAGCAAAGATCACAATTCACAAATTAAGCCAATAACACCCCACTCCTTTATTTTAAGGCAAGGGTGTCCCAAGTTTGGCAACTTTAAGACCTGTGGACTTCAACTCCCAGAATTCCCCAGTCAGTCATGCTGGCTGGGGAATTCTGGGAGTTGAAATCCACAAGTCTTAAATTTGCCAAGGTTGAACACCCCCTGTTTTAGGGGTTCAAAGCAGGGGTGAAATCCAGCAGGTCCTGACAGGTTCTGGAGAACCGGCAGCGGAAATTTTGAGCAGTTCGGAGAATCTGCAAATATCACCTCTGGCTGGCCCCAGAGTCAGGTGGGAATGGAGATTTTGCAATATCCTTCCCCCAGGAGTGGGGAGGGAATGAGGATTTTGCAGTATCCTTCCCCTGCCACAGCCACCAAGCCACACCAAGCCACACCCACAGAACCGGTAGTAAAAAAAAATTGGATTTCACCACTGGTTCAAAGTAATTTTACATTCAAATCCAGTTCTTATTTTAACTGCATGCCAACTCTTCATGAAGATTCAGATGAGCGATGGTAAGTAGCACCACTAAGCAAGTTTCCTGGCTAATCCATGATATGAATCTCCTAATCCAGGGGTTTCCAACCTTGGCAACTTTAAGACTTGTGGACTTCCAACTCCCTGAATTCCTCAGCCAACTTAGCTGGCTGAGGGATTCTGGGAGTTGAAGTCCACAAATCTTAAAGTTGCCAAGGTTGGAGAGACCCCTGTCCGAGTCGGATGTCCAATTCTGGCTATATTGGTCTGGGAATTTGGGATTTGAAAAGCTACACAGCTGTAGATGAAGGTATCTCAACGTACAATATTTTCCCCTCACCATGAGAAAAGCAGCTCCTCCTTCTTCTTCCATAGACTGAATGGCACTCTCGATCAGCTTGCTGGACTTCTCCAGTTGATCTTTATACTGTTGGATGAGGTTCTGTAAGAACCCGGCCTTCTCCTCCTGCTCCTTGGAGATGCGCTGGAGGAGGCCCGTCCTCTTCTCCTCAAGGACAGCAATGAGAGCTTCAAACTTCTCACACAAGGACTGCTTAGCCACCTGACTGTTCTCCTGTTCACAGAGACAGAAGAATAAAAGTTGAGTTGGTTCCTTCTGAACAAATCTCACTCAAGCAACCATCTGGAACTCATTCAGAGAGATCTGGCTTGATTTGATCTGGGACATTGCAAACGTCGTAAATACGAGTCGGTTGTCAAGCATCATGACCATGAGGATGCTACAACAGTCGTAAGTGTGAAAACTGGTCATAAGTCACTTTCTTCAGTGCCGTTGTAACTTTGAATGGTCACTAAATGAACTCTTGTAAATCGAGGACTACCTGTATTCAACCAGGAGGGACAATCTACATGTATCTTCATTACCTTGTTTTTATGCATATTCTTCTGGTTTTGTTTTACTCTGTTTTTATCTTTTTCCCCCTTCTTTTATTATTATTAGGGTTATAGCCCATATAATAGAGAGTCTCTATTAAGTTCATTGCAGAGGAAAGCCAAAGCAAGGATCTTCTGATTTGCAGTCAGTGCTCTATTCCCAGATTCCTCAACATAAAATGTTTTATATTTGGTGCATCAGGCAAAACTTAATGAGTTAAAGCAGGGGTCCCCAACACACAGTCCATAGCCCGGTACTGGTCTGGTATTGGTCCATGGCCTGTTGAGAACCGGGCCACACAAGCAGCGGGCGAGAGCACAAAATTTTATTTGTGCATGCGTGAAACCATCCCCTTCACCCCACCCTCCAGGGCTGCCGGTCTGTTGAGCCAGAAAGGTTGGGGTACCACCGGGTTAAAGGACAAGTGCAGGGATGAAATCCAGCAGGTTCTGGAGAACCGGTAGCAGAAATTTTGAGTAGTTCGGAGAACCGGAAAATACCACCTCTGGCTGGCCCCAGAGTGGGAAGGGAATGGGGATTTTGCAGTATCCTTCCCTGGAATGGGATGGGAATGGGGATTTTGCACTGCCACGCCCACCAAGTCACACCATGCCCACCAAACCACACCCACAGAACCGGTAGTAAAAAAAAATTTGGATTTCACCACTGGACAAGTGGATGCATCTGCAACATTTTAAGCTTTGTCCATTTTAACCTTAGTTTAGTTCTTTCCGCCATTTAGTGTGCTGTGCCAATTAGCCTAAATTTCTAATTAGATTTAGAATTCTAAATAGAATGAGAAATTCCCACTAGATTAATTTTCTGATTTCTGACTAGAATTAGAAATCAGAAAATGAGAAATCCGAACATTAATTCAATCATCAGGTGAAGCAAATTATACAAGCTGTGCCTTTTGAGTTTGCATTGGGATTTTAGATTACTAGGCAGACTTATCTGGCTTTTCCGTCTAAATAAACCCCTGCCCAGATTTGGAAGCAGGGGAAAAGAAAGCCACTGGGCGCCTTTTCCGTCTCTTCTCGGGCAGCACCTGTCTTAACCCACCATCACTCTGGATTGGGTTTCTCTTCCGCTACTCAGATTTCTAAAGGCTCAGCCATTTGCTGTGTTCCTCACCTCTGTCGTTTTGCACAAGTCCTCCAGCTGGCTGATGATCGTCTGCACCCTGTCATTCCCTGCTACCAACATGGAGATGCAGTTGGTTAGCTCAGTCTGTAAGGGAAAATAATAAAAAATAAATAAATGGACTCTCTAAGAAGCCTCTTTTTCTGAATTAATTGATGTGCTGAAGTTCTTGGTCGATTGTGGGAAAGAAGAATGGAAAAGGAACATCAGTGAGAAGTGCTGTGACTCAAGACTGCAATATAATTATTGTCTTTTCTATATCTTGTTTTTATTTGTAAATAGGGCCACCAATCTATTAATATTCCTTGTTCTTTAAGTTTTTCCTGTGTTTTCAATAATCCCTGTGAATCCAATATATCCCTATATCTTATTATCTTTTGCTTTACTAATGTGTTGGGGTGCATTATCGCCTCTATTGTCGATAACCATCCGGGAACTTTCATATAATGTTTATTTTTAATTTCTTGCCTTGTACTAATTAACAAATTTCTAATAATATGGTTATTAAAATGTTTATATGTTTTGCTCCTGGCATTCCATAAATAGGCGTAGCACCCCTTGATTAAATCATGTCCTTCTAATTTTAATAATCTCTGATTTTCCAGGCTCACCCATTCTCTAATCCATGTAAGACTTGTTGCTTTATAATATTTTTCCCATGCCAGAAATCCAAATCCACCTCTAATTCCGTTTTCTTGTAAAATACTTAATTTGATTCTTGGTTTTTTTCCCTCCCATACGAACTTTGTAGTTATTTTATCCAGGTTGTTAAAAAATTTCTTATCCAATTTTATCGGGATTGTTTGGAATAGATAAAGGAGTCTCGGGAGTATATTTGACTTTATCGCTGCAATCTTCCCTAATAGAGATAGTTTCAATTTCCCCCATTTTTCTAAGTCTTCTTTTATTTGTTGGACTAAAGTTCCATAGTTATTATCCTTTATAGTTGCACTTCTGGCTGTCAGATTTATCCCTAGGTACTTCACCTTTTTTACTACTTGCAGTCCCGATTCATTCCCTAATTTCTCTACTATATAATTATTGTCAAGACCAGGGGTCAGCAACCTGCAGCTCTGGAGCCGCATGTGGCTCTTTCACCCCTCTGCTCTGGCTCCCTGTCACTCAAAATATGCATCACAACTGCCAATGTGCGACACCTGCTGGCATGCAATTTATTGAGCTTTTCAAATCCCGGTAGGCCAACCATGGATAAATCCAAGAAAAGAAAAGTTTCAGAAGAAAACGGAACATTTAATTCAACTACAAATGCTAGTTTTGTGGCCGCTCAAGAAATAGTCAGGGACAGGAAGGGTTTTGTGGCTCCCGGTGTTTCCTTTTCTGTGGGAAACGGGTCCAAATGGCTCTTTGAGTGTTTAAGGTTGCAGATCTCTGGTCAAGACTGATTGTTTTCCTCTTTGCTCTCTTCTTTAATCATATTAGATTACAGGGACTTTCTTTTTCTTTTCATCTTTGATCATTTTGGGGTGGCTTTGAAAGATTGAGGAGAGTTTAATGGAGACCTGAACTCAGTTAACTGATTAAGCCCAGGGAGCGGGGCAGATTATAAACCTTTCTCCTGCAAATATTGGCATCATATTTTTTTAGCCCATGGCAGAAATGTTTTTTTTATGATGCTGACATCCATACACATTTGGATGCCAAAGGCACAACAATCCTTTTGCACCAACTGGCCGAACACTGCATCTGCCAGGGATTCTTAAAATATTGTTCGAACTGGTTGTCGCACTGCCAACCTACTGTGCGTCGTCTGATCTGGGTTGGTTTTACAAAGTGGTGCACTGAGATGCTAAATCTGTTTTTTTTCCTTTTGCTCTTTTGGAGTGAGAGGCATGAGCTTTTATCACAAACTCTAAATGACAGCTTGAAAGTTCCATGCATGGACCCCCATTCAAATATTCGCCCAAATCACTGGGACAAGAAGAATGAATAGAATAGAATAACAGAGTTGGAAGGGACCTTGGAGGTCTTCTAGTCCAACCCCCTGCTTAGACAGGAAACCCTACACCACTTCAGACAAATGGTTATCCAACATCTTCTTAAAAACTTCCAATGTTGGAACATTCACAACTTCTGCAGGCAAGTTGTTCCACTGATTAATTGTTCTAACTGTCAGGAAATTTCTCCTTAGTTCTAAGTTACTTCTCTCCTTGATTAGTTTCCACCCATTGCTTCTTGTCCTACCCTCAGGTGCTTTGGAGAATAGCTTGACTCTCTCTTCTTAGTGGCAACCCCTGAGATACTGGAACAGTGCTATCATGTCTCCCCTAGTCCTTCTTTTCATAAGACTAGACATATCCAGTTCCTGAAACCATTCTTCATATGTTTTAGCCTCCAGTCCCCTAATCCTCTTTGTTGCTCTTCTCTGCATTCTTTCTAGAGTCTCAACATCTTTTTTACATCATGGCGACCAAAACTGAATGCAGTATTCCAAGTGTCGCCTTACTAAGGCATTATAGAGTGGTATTAACACTTCAGAAAAAAATGTAATTTTTTTTTTCTATTAAATTGCAGGATGACAAAGACTCATAACTGCTTTTCTTGTTTTTTTAAACCTCTGCTGTGCCCCTGTGTGAAGGCACCAAGAATTCCAGATGGCTTTGACCATAGCTGCAGAAAATGAGTAGGGATGGGTCTGTTTAATCTCTGAGAAAAATGATGGATTAACTACTGTATGGAGCCCATCAGACGTTCAGAGAAAGACCACAGCTTCTCATGCACAGTCTCCTGATTGCAGCTGCTTTCTGGGGGAATGAAAGTTCTGCCATCTCTCAAAGCCATCTCTTGTAGCTCCAAAAATATCCTGCTGATGATTGCTTGTCAATTGCAGTCATCTATGTATCCATATCAACTGCATTAGGGTCAGGCACTATTCCTGAAAGACACAACGTGACGTGTCCAAAGGTCTCCAATTCACCTCTTAGCCCAAATGAGAGATGGACCTACTGGCCCAAGACTTCCTCTGCATACCACTGGATCTGAACCCCTTTAAGGTGAAGGAATGCAATCCTTTTTTTGTCTCTGGGCATATGGTCAAGTTGCAGGCATGAAGTAGGAGGATATTCACTCCCATAGAGGTTGCTAAGTCTTGAGACTGTTCAGAATTATGCCAGGAAGTTCTTTTTTGTATGTGCCTATCCAAAAAGGGTACACCATGAAAAGGCTTTGCATGCATTAAGTAATACAGGTGCATACTTAAAAACAATTGCTATCATTTAAATATCCCAAAGATGCTTTTTCAAGAGGCAATTGAACTTTCTGGTTTTTCTGTGAAGACGTTTTGCTTCTCATCCAAGAAGCTTTTTCGGCTCTGACTGGATGGTGGGGAATGGGATTGGTGGGGAATGGGATTCCAGGCTGACCAACTTTGCATTCCGAGAGGAAGGGGAATTGCATTCTTGGAAGCCTCGTTCATGAAAATAAAATTTGCCCGCCATTCAGTCAGAATCGAAGAAGCTTCTTGGATGAGAAGCGAAACGTCTTCGAAGAAAAACCAGAAAGTCCAGTTCCCTCTTGAAAAAGCACCTTTGGGACAACCATGACCTGGATGACTGAGAATCTCCATAGATATCATTTAAATAGAAACCGGAGAGCCAATTTGGCACAGTGGTTAAGGCACCAGGTAGAAACCAGAAGACTGTTAATTCTAATCCTGAAATTCGGGTGTCCTCAAAATCGGCAGATAAAATGTCATGATAAAACATCATGCATCTGTTGAACATGCACGTAATGCCAGCATTATGATGCCCGGCCTGCCATCTTGCAATATTTAACCTCTCTACCCCAGAGATAGAGGTCATCTTCATACCCCAGAGGTCATCTTCATGGCAGATGACGATGAATATCGGGTTGAACATTAGAGAGTTAAGCTATATTACACAAGCAGTGAAGCTTGGCTCATACCTTCTGTCCCTGAAAGACGCTTTGAAGAGGCGCCACTTCACAATCTTTGTGTGCTCCAAAGACTTTGCACATAGAGCAGGTAGGAACCTCACAGGTCAAGCAATAGATGTTGATCTTTTCATCTTCGTGTTCTTTGCACATTGGGTGGTTTCCCTTCTTGAGGGGACGGCTGTTGAAGACAGGAAGGAAATGAAGAGTCAAGATAAGAAGGTCTCCATAGTTAATATCATCTTGGATAACAAGATGGGCAGCATATAAATTTAACAAATAAATAAATGTTTGAGTAGAAGTGGGAAAACAGATTGAAATTCACATTTGTGTCCAAAACTCTCTAGGACGGGGTTCTGCAACCTTAAACACTCAAAAGAGCCATTTGGACCTGTTTCCCACAGAAAAGGAAACACTGGGAGCCACAAAACCCTTCCTGTCCCTGACTATTTCTTGAGCGGCCACAAAACTAGCATATGTAGTCGAATTAAACGTTCTGTTTTCTTCTGAAACTTTGCTTTTCTTGGATTTATCCATGGTTGGCCTACCGGGGGTTGAAAAGCTCGATGAATCACGTGCTGGCAGGTGTCGCACGTTGGCGGTTGCAACGCATATTTTGAGTGACAGGGAGCTGCAGCAGAGGGGTGAAAGAGCCACATGCGGCTCCAGAGCTGCAGGTTGCTGACCCCTGCTCTAGGACTAGGTATTATTGAGACAGTCACTGTATCTTTTTCATTTGACATTTCATGATGATTACATCCCACTATTTGCAGCCACTGATCTGCAGGTTTGAAAATATTTTAAACCTGCTTTAGATGTTTTGTTTTGCGTTGTATAAAAATTTGGTGGCGCAGGAATTGCATGGCCTGTGGTTAATGTAAATATGGCAGAATATGGTAAAAAGTTTACATGAATAATCTGCCTCACATGGGTATGTAAAACATGGATGAAGACAGAGGGTCAGGTTGGTTCTACGGATTATTCAAATGCCTAATTATGATGCCCTTGAAACAGTAGCGGCAATCTGATGAAATGCATGTCAGAAATTATTTTCAATAGAGGATAATATAGGGTTGAATATAATCTTAAGTGATCTCTGGTTGTTTGCTTGCAGAAGTTCCTTGCTTACTGGCTGCGGAATTCTGGGAGTTAAAGTCCATTTAAAGTTGAGAAGCATTGCTATATAGACTCAAAGCATGTTGGCTGGCAAATTCTGGGAGCTGAGGTCCACACAGCTTAAAGTAAACATCAGCATGGATGATGTTACCTAGCTGGGTAATGAAATGTCTCCAGGCAAACAACCAAGCTTAGAGAGCACCAAGGACTCCATAGAAGTGATTTTCCTAATGAATTGGCCCCCTTGTCTATGAAAGAGGGAGGGACTGAAGAGTCATTAGGCTTGGTTGCTTCATGTTCCATCAATCTCTAGGGGTTGGCCCAGTGCTGACATTCAATTTTTTTTACTACTGGTTCGTGGGCATGGCTTGGTGGGTGTGGCATGGCTTGGTGGGCCTGCCACAGAAAGGATACTGCAAAATCTCCATTCCCACCCCACTGGGGCTAGTCAGAGGTGGCATTTGCCAGTTCTCCGAACGACTCAAAATTTCCGCTACTGGTTCTCCAGAACCTGTCAGAACCTGCTGGATTTCACCCCTGGATTGGTCCCAGAAATATTCCTCACTAAGGGCAAGTATTTCCTAGCTCTTTCTTCTCATTTAATTTTTCCACTCATACAGTAGAAGTTTATTAGTGGATTTAGTAACTCAAGTTGAAAGAGTGGGTTGGTTGCTGATCTCACAGCAGAGTGTAGATAGCCTTCTGTCTAATATTAATCTCCCTGCGAAGTTATGTTTAGTTTTTACTTCCACTTCTGTCCAAGTGGAGCCATTTATTCTGAGAACAGGTTTCCTTCCTTTGGAGGAGGATTTATGATAGCAGGCAGCTCTCCACAACCCCCCCCAAAGTATCAGCAGCACCACAGCACTTCTGCTCCTATATTCGGATCCCTTGCTAATCCACCCAAATTTCTTGACCTTTCATGGACAAGGACTACTAGTCAGTCGGTGGGAGTTTTCCTCTATAAGGTTTTTTTTAAAACAAACGCCATGGTCGTTGTGTTTGTTATCGTGACTTAAAGCAGCACGAATTCCTAGTTCTACCAATGGTAGGTGTGAGTCTGAATATGTATGAATGAAGGAAAGAATAAATGAATGAATGAAAGCATCCTAGACCAGACCCAAGGTCCATGTACGTGCTGTTCTGAAAAAGAATCAGAACCTTTGGCCTGGATTTTTCAACTGGATTAAAGCTGCCATGCTAAGAAGGATTTTGTAAATTTCTTGTTAATCCGATTAGTCTACTGCAGATTTTGTCCTGGCTTTGAGTGAGGCAAGCCCCCAGGACGAATCCCAGTTACGATGGCCAGCTTTTCGCTTCTATAGAGCCCCTCCTTCCTTCAGCTATGAAATCTGAGCTGCAAAAATCCAGAGGACCACTATAGGACAAAAATGAGTTGGGAGTTTTTCACATTCCTTTGCTGCCATCTGTTGGTTGTCTGGATTGTTGTGGTCCAGATATAGCAGCTCATACCTTCCTTTAATGCTGGGAAGGATGGAAGAAAAGAAAGAAAGAAAGAAAGAAAGAAAGAAAGAAAGAAAGAAAGAAAGAAAGAAAGAAAGAAAGAAAGAAAGAAAGAGGACCACCACCAGCAAGATATCTGGTGCGAAAGTCCAAGTCCACAAGTGAAGCTAATAGATTGCTATATTCTATGCACAAGAATGTTCTCTACAGCATCCGCTTAGAGTTAGATAAGGGTCACTGGAACTCAAGGAGGGTTGGCCTTAGTTCGCTTGTTCTAGGCTCTAGGCCAGTGATGGCTAACCTTTTTGCCGTCGCGTGCCAAAAGCAGGGGGAGCACAGGGGGTTATGGGCACATGTGCCCACACCCATAATTCAATGGCCTCCTGTGCCCCGCCCACCACATGTGACCCCCCCGCTTCCCCCCGCTTTTGGCACATAATGGCAAAAAGGTTACCGGTGGGCCTGGTAGGCCCGTTTTTTGCCCGAAAACGGCCTTCCCCCCCCCAGAGCCCCTCCAGAGGCCAGAAATGGCCCATTTCCCGACTTCCAGTTGGCCAGGAAGGCCCATTTTTTGCTCTCCCCAGGCTCCAGAGGCTTTCTTGGAGCCTGGGGAGGGTGAAAACGGCCTTCCCCACGCCACCCCGGAGCCCCTCCTGAGGCTGGAAACTGTCTGTTTCCCGATGTCTGGTGGGCCCGGAAGGCCCAAAAATCAGCTGGCTGACACGCACATGCATGCTGGAACTCAGCTAGGACAACGCTCGTGTGCCCACAGATATGGCTCCGCGTGCCACCTGTGGCACGTGTGCCATAGGTTCGCCATCATGGCTCTAGGCTAATCCCTCTTTTAATCCTGCCCCCAAGTTCTGCCACTCCTTCTCCCATTCAGAGTGGATGGCCTCAATTACAGGCAGCTCTTGACTTATGACCACAATTGGGACCAGAATTGCTATTGTTAAGAAAGTCAAATCCAATTTTACAACTTTTTTTTTTTGCCATGGTTGTTAAGCAAACCATTGCAATTGTTAAATGAATCACATGGTCATTAAGGGAATCCAGCTTTCCCCTCCCTTGATTTTGCTTGTCAGATTTTGCTTGTTGGGAAGATTACAAACTGTGATCACATGACCCGAGGATGCTGCAATCATCCTAAATTTATGCCAGTTACCAAACACCTGAATTTTGATCACATGATTGTGGGGATGTGTGCCAATCATTAGCGTGTAAGTAATTTTTTTCAGTGCCATTGATTGATTGGAAGTCAAGGACCACTGTACATAGCTGAAGAAAATCTGTGCAGTTGGTAAAAATCATAATAACTTGATGGTGCCTTGTCATTCTTCCACCTTTCCTTAGCAGTCTGGAAATGATTGTTAAGAAATTATTGGAAGATACTATGACATGATTGCTTTTAAGGGAGAATTCCTTTTCCAAGGTGTAATACAGCAGAATTCATACCAACCTTGAATATTCCTGTTTATAGATATCGATGATATTCTCTACCAGCAGATTCCTCTGGAGACCGTAGACTCCATGGCGGTCCAGGATGACTTCATGTCGGCAAGAGGGACACCGGAAACGTCCTCCAGATATGGTGGTTCCTCGGCTTGTTTGCCAGTATGGATTTGCAGCCTAGAAATGCCATCAACCATGTTAATCCAAAAGTCAGGGATTCCCCACAAAATTAAACAAACTACACATTTTTTCCCCAAATTTTGTACCCTCCAGAAATAATGTACTTCAGCTCCTATCAATCCTATTCATTTCAAACTCAGCATATCAGGAAGGACCCAGGTGGGGAAAAATTCAAACATTCAAAATAATCTGATTTTTTTCCTTCCTCCCTCCCCCTTAAAAACATTCCTTTTGATAAAACGGAACATCTCCCTTCATGGTTTGCTTATAAAACGGACAGTGTCACTGGAACACTGGCCACTGCCAATAAATGAGGTAACTGCTTCAACTGGAATCTATTTTGGGCACAAAGTGCAGTGATCCTATTTGTCAGAGTTGGGCATTGGCTGGGAGAACTCAATTTCAATTTGCTAAATGATTTAATCTAATCTGGTTTCATTACTTTATGCGCCAATTTTTATGTGAAATAGTATGCACCTGAATCTTAGAAAATGCATAAGATAAAGCCCCAAATAAGTATTCAAAAAACTTACTAGCATTTGTAGCTAGATAGATTTTTATTCCTTATTTATTTAACTAGAAATAAGAATAAGATTTGCTGGTCCATATGGGTTCTTGAAGGATTCAAATTCATCAATAGTTAAATGAATGCTCATCAAGTCACCCAAGAAAATTTGGTTTATCCTGAATTACTGATTTTCTTGTACATCTTTCCTAGAACTTTAGATGTTAGACGTGGAATAATCGCATCCATTGTCTTTATGGATTACATGAAGAATAATATGAATTACTAAAATAAGTTCATAACATAAGCAATGGTCCATCTAGTCCAGCAGTCTTTCTCCAAGGAGAACCAACTGCACAAGGAAATCTCCCAACTGACGGCCTTCAGAAGCAGTCACACTTCTACCATACCAAGACTAATAACTGTTGAGCCCCATGATTTTCATCAACTGGTCCAACCGTTTCTTGAAGCCAGCCAAAATTCATGTATTAATATATTCTTATAGAAGCAAATATGATCTATCCCAAAACAATACTTCATAGGCATGTTTGGTGAGCATGGGACATTGACTAGTTTATTGGGAAACAGGATATTATTAACCCAGAAAAATGGAAAATGGAATAGATGAAGGGATGTATGATTGTCTAGGCTCTAGAATATATCCTTCCTCATTGCAGAACCCATTAGTCCTAGATATACTAATTATAGGATCAATCCATTTCTCCCTTTATTTGTGTAATCCTAGATGCTTTCACTATGTTCTATGGCAATGGGTTTCTTATGTTATATGAAGAAATAATTGGGGGGGGGGAACAGGACAATGGAACCAGTGGAAATCAACTGGTTGAAAGAAGATGTTTCACCTGGTCCATTGTCCACCTAATCTTGTGCACATTCAGTAATGCTAGGCAATCTTCTGTAGCAATGGATTGCTTATTGTTATATACAATTGAACACAGAATTCACAATTGAATGACAGTAACTTTCAGCTTCCACGTTGCTAATGTTGGTATTGTCAAGGCTTTGGTCATGGTTTTGAGGGGAATGTAATTATAATACAGAGAAATATTGTTTTAGTTTCTAAAACCTTTATATCAGTTAAAGTTTTTTTCAGATCAACCAAGGCTCTATCCATTGATTGGGACAGGAATTGACCAACCCACTTGTCATCTGAGCCTTACAACATAGGTTGAGAGAGAGTGACTGGCCCAAGATAACCCAGGTGGCTTTCACGCCTAAGGAGAAACTAGAACTCATTGACACCTAGTTTCTAATCTGGTACCTTAACCACTAGGCCAAATTTGATTCTCCAAGAGGGAACTATATGACCTTGTCCATTTTTATGTTGGGGTTGGCAGTTATCAGATTCTTTTGAACCCATGCTATGAATCAACCTCATTGGCACCAACCTAACTCCTTAAAATATAATGGGATATTGTTTCCAAGAATTTCCAATCAGCAGGCCTCATGATGACTTCTGGGATTGAAATCTCAACACATCTGGAGGGCCTTAACTTGTAAAAACTGGCAAAAATGTATTCAGTAAACCATCATTAAATAAAAAAATCTCCTTCCCCTTAAGGATATTAATTCTACATTCTTTAAAAAAATAAATAAAACAAAGCCACACATGCATTTATCCCATGTCTTGATACACCCTTTTTTTTTTACACAATGGAAATGATACATATGTAATTGAGTGAGAAGGAAATAAAGCCACTTTCCCCAGTCAAGTGCCTTACAGATGTGTTGTGACTACAGCACCTGTTGACCATACCAACACCCCTGAGAATCTCCAGGATGAGAGTACACTTAAAAACAACCCATTGTTTCACCAGGCGGGTATCTCTCTCCTCTCCCTCTTTGCCTGCAAGCCAATGAAATCTTTGGGAAACTATATTCAGATTCTCCTCAGCTTCTTGGCTTTGTCTCTTGCCCTTCCATTTTGTGTTGCCTTGGAGCTCTGACAATAACAATCAACAAGTCAGGAAGGCAATGTCAGAAGTAGAACAGGCCCCTAGAGAACCAGAGCTGAGCTCTTATCAGCTACTACTTAGCCAAAGCCTTTTGAAGAAGTGAACATTATCTGAGGAATGAGTCCAAGATGGTCTCCAAGACTTGAAAGTGGAGATAGAAATGGATTTTAGTGGATGATGCAGGCAGCCTCTTAGGCACCAGAGCCTTAAAAAAGCACCAGGGAGAAAACATTTCACAGCTAGGACAATGTCACTGCATTTAACATAACCACAAATGCAAATTCGCTATATTGATATCCTTGCTATTTTCTTATTAAATGTTGCACAGCGATGGCTAATGAATCTTTCAAACGTGGCAGAGACTATTACACATTCACCGTCTGCCATTTTATCTTTTTTCAGATGACTGAAATGCATTTCCCTAGATTCTCTATTTTAAAATCTGGTCCATGTCCAATTTAAAATGAAAGACTCCTAAGGAGGGAGAGTTTTTTCTAACCTTGAAGCTGCCCTAGATGACTGAGAGCTAAGCAATAGTCTACTTGTTATATTTGTATTTCAATTGCAAGACTTGTTGTATGAATTCTATTCTATTCTTTCTGTTCTGTTCTGTTCTGTTCTGTTCTGTTCTGTTCTGTTCTGTTCTAGTCTAGTCTAGTCTAGTCTAGTCTAGTCTAGTCTAGTCCAGTCCAGTCCAGTTCATCCCTAAAGGGGAAGGCTAAAACATATGAAGAACAGTTGCAGGAACTGGGTTTGTCTAGTTTAATGAAAAGAAGGACTAGGGGAGACATGATAGCAGCCTTCCAATATCTCAGGGGCTGCCACAAAGAAGAGGGAGTCAAGTTATTCTCCAAAGCACCTGAGGGCAGGACAAGAAGCAATGGGTGGAAACTAATCAAGGAGAGAAGCAACCTAGAACTCAGGAGAAATTTCCTGACAGTGAGGACAATTAATCAGTGGAACAACTTGCTCCAACACTGGAAGTTTTAAAGAAGATGTTGGCTAACCATTTGTCTAAAGGGGTGTAGGGTTTCCTGTCTAAGCAGGGGGTTGGACTAGAAGACCTCCAAGGTCCCTTCCAACTTTGTTGTTCTGTTCTATTCTGTTCTGTTCTGTTCTGTTCTGTTCTGTTCTGTTCTGTTCTGTTCTGTTCCCATAGATAATCAGCTGAATCTCAAAATTTTCCTATATACCTACTGAGTAAACACGTACAGAATTGGCTGAATGGACCCGTACTGACCTGAAAGACGTCATTAGCACATTTCCTACAGAGGTTATGCTGGCAAGGTAGGATCACCACGGGCTTGGAGAACATCTCTAGGCAGATAGGGCAGATCAGCTGTTTTTCCAGATTCTCCATAGGATTATTGTCCTGGAAGATGCTCGACTGATAATCCATGGTTCAGTTCAGCACTTATATCCTTCGATTCTGGAATCGCTCAACTTAGGGTTCTCTTCTTGAGAGACAAGCTCAAGTTTTAGAACTGAGCCTTGCTGGGTTGACTTTCCAACTAAGACACTGGGTTTTCTGCCGTTTGCCTGGCCTCTTGTCTATTTATAATTTATCTGAGAGTCACATGTGTTTGGCTGGCAGAGTAATTTGAGAAGAGGGTCGTGTTTCCGAAAGACTGACACAGTGTCACATGGAAGGGGGGATGTGCAGTTGTCCCTCTGGTTGGACTTCTGTAAACAAGGCTAAGGGACGATATGTTCGAAAGCAGGGAAGCAAACTTCCAGGGATGTTGCTTGTATTATTTATCTCTTTTGCCTCCCCTGTGTGTTTTCCAACAAAGAAATGAGAGCTGTGTTTGTGTAAACTGGTCACCCTTTCCAGGGAACAAAACAAACAACACACGCCTGCCCACTCTTTAAACTAAGGGTTAAACTCAAACCATTCAACAATTTTATTATTGGCTATTGCCAGGCCTAGTTAACCTAGCCATGTTGCTCAACAACTCTAGTTGCACTCATCTAATTCTCCTTTTTGCAAGGTAGAGTAGACAGGAAACATGACCAGACTAGCTAATTCTATTTTATTTATTTTATTGTAAGGCTACGCTACACTAACAGAATTTTGCAAATCTATACAGGTAGTTAAGAGATGCAGTGGCTCAGTGGCTAAGACGCTGAGCTTGTCGATCAGAAGGTCGGTAGTTTATTTATTTATTTATTTATTTATTGGTTCAATTTATTTATTTATTGGTTCAATTTATTTATTTATTGGTTCAATTTATTTATTTATTGGTTCAATTTATTTATTTATTGGTTCAATTTATATGCCGCCCTTCTCCGGAGACTCAGGACGGCTTACAATGCGTTAAGCAATAGCCTTCATATTTTTGTATATACCTGCTTAGTAGGGTTTTCGGGCCCCCCTAAGCGGTGTTCTTTTTTTATACAAAGTCAGCTTATTGCCCCCACAATCCGGGTCCTCATTTTACCTTCCTCGAAAGGATGGAAGGCTGAATCAACCTTGAGTCTGGTGAGATTTGAACTCGCAGTAATTGCAGGCAGCTAAGTGCTACCTAACAGCACTTTAGTCCGCTGCTCCACCAAGGCTCCTTTCCTCCCTCCTTGTTAATCAATCAACCAGCTATAAAAAGTTTTACTATGTTTCTTTTCTCAAAGAGTTAAATATTCATCAGTCTCATTCAGTGGTGAAATCTGAACTGGTTTACTACCGGTTCGCTGGCTGCGCATATGCAGTGCGCACCACGCACCAAATGCGAGGTGCTCGTGGAGTGCACGCCAAAAGGAGGCATGCGGTAAGTAGAACAGCGCGCAAGGGGGGTGGGTGATCAGTTGTGGCGCACAATCTTTTTTTTTATTTTTAAAAGCATTCCTTTTAAAAGTTAAAAAAAAAAGCCTCTGACGATTGCGTGGCTCAGCTGTGAGCCTTTTAAAAGTACCTTTTAAAAGCATTTTTTAAACAACCTCTTCAGCTGAAGAGGTTGTAGAAAAAACGCTTTTAAAAGTAAAAAAAAAAAAAGCCTCTGATGACTGCGCGGCTCAGCTGGGCATTGGGGGGTGGCAGGGATTTTTGCTACTGGTTCTCCGAACCATCCTCCACCATCGCTACCGGATTGGGGGATCCGGTCCAAACCGGGAGGATTTCACCCCTGGTCTCATTATTAAAACCCAATCTGTGCCCCACAAGGGACTCAAACAGAAGCATCAAACTTCTTGACACTGATGATAGACTTCGGTTGCCCTCTGAATTACATCATGCCCCACCGAGATCAAGTTCTGTATCTCAAACGCTTCCCAGAACTAATTTGTTGTGAAGCTTAATTGGGAGTCCTCCAGAACCCTCATTCAATGAAGATACAGAAAAACACTTCCCATTCAGTTCCAAGGGAATTCCTGAAAACACACGTGGGAGGGTTTGGGATATGTGCGGCCATTCGGGTGACCGACCCGAGGAACCCAAACAGCTTTAGGTGAGATTTGATATACATGTGACTGGCTCAACAGCACAACAAAACAAGAGGGAGATAGCATACGCTTCAGATGGAGTTTGCTTAGCACAGACAAGTTCTCTATATTGATCACGGATGCCCAGTAGATAGAAATATCCCGCTAAACAGTGGTATGACTTGAAGCAGCTGTGAGTATTTAGAACAGGGGTGTCAAGCTCGATTTCATTTGAGGGCTGCATCAGGGTTGGGTTCGACCTCAGGAGGCCGGGGTAGGTGTGGCCAGGGTGGGCGTGGCCAACTTGACATCACTAGTGTCAGGGGCGCCTGTGGCGGCCCAAGAGCTCTACCAGTGAAAACAGGCGCCCAATCTCCGTTTTCACCTGGGACGGCCTCCTGCAACCCTCTGCCAGCGAAAATGGAGCTCGGGAGGGCCCTCCTGAGTTCCATTTTCACTGGCAGAGGGTTGCAGGAGGCTGTCCCAGCTGAAAATGGAGATTGGGCGCCTGTTTTCGCTGGCAGAGCGTGGTGCCAGCGTCTTTAGAAGAGCATATGACGGCTGTGGCCAGGGGGGCTTTCTATCAGGTTCGCCTGATACGCCAGTTGCGTCCCTTTCTGGATCGGGACTCCTGGATGCACGGATGCACGGTCCTTCACTTTCCAGGGTGGCCCCACGGGCCAGATCTAAGCACCTTGAGTATGACACCCCTGGTTTAGAAAAACAGCCAATTTCTCTGAAAAATAAAGGAAAGGGTGAACTAGATATCTAAGTATCAGTAAATATTTTGTGACAATCATTAAGCAAATTACTGCAATTGTTAAGCGAATCTGCAGTTGTTAAGCAAACACCACAGTCATAAGCGTGATCCATTCTTCCAAATTGGTGTTTTGTTGTTGTTTTTTGTGCCAGAAACAGACAAAGAAGACAAAGAAGGTAGCGAATCATGATTATGTGACCTCAGGACTCTATTATCAGTTGTAAATATGAGCCAGTTGCCCAGCACCTGAGTTGCAATCACATGAACATAGGGGTGTTGTGACAGTTATATGTGTAAATATTAGACATTTTTCAGCAGTGTTGTAACTTTGAATGGTTGCTATGTGAATGATCATAAGTCAAGGACTACCTGTTGTCCGCCAGTTGTGTCCTAACTATATATTTTATGGCATAGTAAGCTGCCCAGAGTCACTTGTTACTGAGATGGACAACTTATAAATTTAATAAATATATAAATAAACGATTTCCTGTCAACATAGACATTTCTGGAAGAGTCAGCAAAGCTGCTAACCACGCTAACTGGGGATAATGAAAACTAATACAAATCATCAGGAAGGTTGCTTGATTGGGGAAAAACTGCATTAAAAAGGTAAAGATTCCCCTCGCACATCGTTCCTGACTCTATGGGGCAGTGCTTGTCTCCATTTCAAAGCCGAAGAGCCAGCGCTGTCCGAAGACGTCTCTGTGGTCACGTGGCTGGCATGACTAAACGCCAAAGGTGCACGGAATGCTGTTACCTTCCCACCAAAGGTGGTCCCTATTTTTCTACTTGCATTTTTTACATGCTTTCGAACTGCTAGGTTGGCAGAAGCTGGGACAAGTAACGGGAGCTCACCCCATTACGTGGCACTAAGGGTTCGAACCGCTGAACTGCCGACCTTTCGATCGACAAGCTCAGCATCTTAGCCACTGAGCCACCATGTACCCATAAAACTGCGTTAGAAAGTTATCAACAACAATAAATACAAAGGGATTTCAGGTACAGGCTGCCTCACACCTAGCAAATCCCAGTTTGCACATCCAGAGATGTTGGCTTGCTTGGCACATAGTCAAGAAGAATTTAGGATTGCTCAAAGGCACCCTTGCATTTCATTGCAAAATGACTCAATGGACACCCCCCACCCACCCAATCCCTGAACAAGAAGCCAAGGATCTCAGCTGACAAATCAGTTGATGCATGTCGAAGGGGAGTGAAGGTGGGATTACAAAAATATCCAGCCAAAACAACAGCTGTGAATGGTTTCCCCTCCCTCCTACTGTAGTTTTTGGACCACTCTGTTAGGACACCAATGACCCCTAAAAGTTTAGCCACCAGCAGCAAAAAAGCAACGTTTTCATTACTTGGACAAAATCATCTGGAGAGATCCACAGATTTGCAAAAAAAATGAGCTTGGAAACAGTAACGGTAACAAAGAAGATACAGACCAGGCAGGCAACGGGAAGGAATCATATTTCAAATGCTTATTGGTCAGCTGAAGAGATGTGGGAAACCTGGTGTCATCCAGATGTATCAGAGTACAACTCCCAAAATTCACATCTAGTATGATTAAGAGTCACACTGGTCAAGTATTACGAAAGCAATTGTTGATAGCCAGAAGACGTGAACTTAGGGGGAAGCAGGTGTCAAACAATTCAATTTCAGAGATTCTTTTTTCTTTCGCTCCAGAAAGCAGGATTAAATCTAATGGACAATTTTCCAGAATGGTAGATTTTAACTGAGCATTAAGAGCAAACTCTTAAGGCCTTTAGCCTTGTTGCAATATTTTCAGGATCAGACTCAATAAGATTAGTAAGAGTTAAAGGTTTAAATATATTTTCTTTTATTTACAATAGGCATTCTATATTCACTGAATATTCACAGATAGAAGCGAGGAAAAGGGTGCATGTAGCTCCTTATATATACAATGGGTGGAGCTATATGTGGGAGTGGTGAATTATGAATACATTAAGAAGTGAAGAATAAGTTAACCCCTGATACCCCGTTCATATACTATTTACACATTAAAGAATAAGGCATTTACATCTGACAAATCCCCCTCTAAATGCCGATTCGTTATGCAACACCAATTACATTCAGATTCAGTACAATACAAAACATACAACTTAGAAGTTAAATATTTATGTTGCTTAGAAGGTAAAGGCTTTGTCAATATGTCAGCTAATTGTTCTGAAGTATCACAATGCACTGCTTTAATAAATCCATCTTGAGATAATTGTCTCACATGTTTAAATTTTATATCTATGTGTCTGGACCTTTGTCCAATAGCATCAGATCTAGATATTTCAATGGCTGCTTTATTGTCTTCATGCATAACAAAAG